ATAAATCGTCCTAAGCTGTTTTCCTGATTGATTACAGCAAAAACAACAATAATCGAATTTATGCTAACCTTGGCTAATATAATTTTTTTTTTTTACGTGTTTAGCTTTTATATATTTCATTTGTGGTGCTTTAATTAATGTATTTATTTATTTGAATAGATTAGCCAACCTAGTTGTCATTGGTGACTAGTACTGCAGTGTGTATACAATGCCTGAAACAAACCTCTACAAATATAACTTATCTATGGCCTAATAAAATGAATATAAACTAGCCGGGAGTGAGTATCCTGTGTCATTCATTAACTCTTGTTTATTTTGTATATAGCCATTGTTTCTGTTACTTACATAAGCTACATGCCTACTGATAAAATGTTTCTTGTAGTTAAAATGTTAATATTGTAATCATTATAATTTGTTATTGATTATATAATACAGTGCATAAACCTTAAAGCATTATTCTGATGGCACAGTCTTCTTGGACATCAAGAAGGAGGACACCTCTAGGTCAGCAGCTACTCCAAGAATATTATTTTTAAATTTGGATAAGAAATCATACATATGTCATCATCAATAGTGTCATAATATGGCTTTGATTTGCTTTTGTGATATTACCACATATATTTATCGTCATGTAAATTCATTGTCTTGTTTCAGACTGGATGTGGAGCTTAAGTCACTGGTAGCTGATCATTGTGTGAACTGAACACACACAGAGGCTGTATTCATTGAGTGCCAAGGCCCTGTTTTAATAATTATCTCAGATACATTTGTGGAGGTTTGTTTCAGGCATTGTATACACACTGCAGTAATCACCAATGACAACTAGGTTGGCTAATCTATTAAAAAAATAAATAAATTAAAGCCCCACAAATGAAATATATAAAAGCTAAACACATCAAAAAGAAAAAAAAAACGATATTAGCCTAGGTTAGCATAAGTTAGTCGATTATAGTTTGTTTTGCTGTAATCAATCAAGCAAAACAGCTTATAGACGATTTATCATATTATTACACAAACTATGCGGTTTTGACACTGTTGCAGTTGAGTGATTCTATAATTGCAGGTACATTTGGTGTCCGAAGTCTTTTTTTTTTTTCTGCTTTTTTCAAAAGGTTATATTTTGTAATTATTTTAATACTGTGTTACTCATTGTTATGAATTACAAGATAACTTGAAATCGCATCATATGACCCCTTTAAACACGTAGTGATTTGAGAAGCCTGCACTAATATTTTCAGTTCTGTTCGTTTGCGCGTTGTTTCAAGGACACGCCCACATTAGGGGAACTAATGAATAATCACGTAAACTCCACCCACTGGAACAGTTTTTCACAGGAACTGAATATTACCGGCAGGAGTTCCGGTGAATTCTGTTCCCCTGTTTCCCCTTCGACGCGCATGCGTGAAATCCCGACGTCATGATTTCGAAGCGGAAAATGTGTGCTTTATTATCTCAAGCGTCAGTTTATGATGTTATTTCCTACTTTCCATCAACATAAGGTATATTTCACGTTGTTTGTCAAATACATAAGTAGAATGTATTGTTTTTGGAGGTTTTATAGCTCAGTCTTTCGTGGCTTAGGCTACAGCTAACTTTACCTTTGAGAAACTCTGTATAACAGCTAATGCGTCAAGTTTAATAAACGAATTTCGACGGTCGTTTACATTATTATATTATTGTTATGTTGTTGTTGTTGTTGGTGTGTGTCGGGGTTGTCACACAACCTTATGTTTTCCATAAATAAACCATATTGCACTGTACAATACTGTGTTGTTATTATTATTAAGCTACTCGCCTCTAGAAGAACTTTCATCTACAGAGGTGATGCTGGTGATGTATTTAAGTGTCATCATTATGTGTAACAACTTTAATCTACAGAACAGTCCCATACACCGAAAACACAGGGGGAACAGATTTTCCCAAAGGCCTGAGAAATATGGTTCCCCCCTCCCATATTCCCTTCTGAGGCTTCATAAAGCACTGCAGCGATGCTGAAGGGGAAACGGGAACTGAATTCACCGGAACACGCCATCACGGGCGGTAACATTTCCGTCACATGCTTGAGGTATTCGGCCAATCACAACGCACTGGATAGCTGGCCAATCAAAGCACACCTGTGGCATAGAGGAGAAACAATAATGTACAGTATGTGGAATATAATGTTTTTTTTTTAACCTTAAACCGCATAAACACATTTCATTACACCAAATACACAAAATAATGTTCTTTTTAGCAGCATCATATGACCCCTTTAAGAGCGTCACATTAACCACGCCTCTGTAATGTGACGAGCCAATGAAATTAGCGCACACACTTGTCACGCAGAAAGACGCTGTCAAAAGACCGACGTGTTTATATTTATTTTTTATATATTTTATATTTGTTTACACGATTGCGAATTGTGTAGTGGACGTTTATCAAGCTTGAGTGTGTAGCAATGTCTATATGCCCTTTTTAGTAGGAAACCGCAACAGTATTCTTCGTGTTGTTATCATAGCAGCCATCAAAGCTCTTGCAGCGTCTTTGTCTGCGGAAGTAGGTTTGTGTTGTTCTCTCCCATGTCCCAGTTAAAGAGAATGACTCAAATGAATTGACAGGTATGAGGAGCTCTTTTATCGTTCTTATAAGTTATACCGTGCTGTCATAAGAATGAATGTAGTATAGCTGCAACAGACTGTGCCGGGGTCAGTGACCGAGCACATGACGGTCCGTATGTTTGGATTTGGGCGCCTCTCCGCCGAGGGGAAAGTAGGAATCGCATCGGGAGTTGTTTTTTTCTCTATGCTTATATCCAGAACATTACTCTCAGAGCGGGTGAACAAAAACACTCGCGCTTCGTTGTTTCGCGTTCAGTTTCTCCTCTTCATCAACTCCCTGCTGCTCCTCGGCTCTCTCTACATATGGAAGCGCGTGGTGCGGCGACTGTGCGGAGCCAGAGGTGCACCTTCTGTCCCGCAGAGATGTTGGCGTCTTCTTGTCCTGCTGTTTCTTACTCTGGTGCACGGGAGCTACCTATGCATGTTTTTCCTCGTGGACACTGAGCCACACTGGTTATCATTGCTGAGTTTCTCCTGTTTGGGCATTTATGTCATCCTACTGTTCTTCCTGTTTGTTTTTGGCTGCCTTATCCGCCTTCGCAGGCTTCTCTCCCGCAGCCGAGGAGGAGAAGAGGATGCGGTCGCGAGCGGATCAGTCAGTCATATAGTGTTGGCAATGATATTAACAGCAATACTGGCAGTGTATGGGTTGGTAAATGCAGCCCAGCCTCCACGAGTAATTGAGGTGGAGATCCCAGTAGAGAAGCTCCCTGAGTCTTTGAACGGGCTCAGGTTGGTGCTTCTGTCCGACATACATCTGGGACCTACAGTAGGCCGCTCCAAACTACAGCGCATTGTGACTATGGTGAATGAGCTGAACCCAGGTAATTACAATTATATGGTATCTGTGTAATCTTTAAAGAGTTAAACGGATAGCACACCAAAAAAATTTAAATTCTGTCATCTTTTACTCTCCCTCGTGTCATTTCAAACCTGTATGACTGTCTTTCTTCTGTTGAACCTAAAGATATTTTTAAGAGTGTTGGTAACCAAACTGTATCCATTCCCATTTACTTCCATTGTATTAAAAAAATCGAAATATATTTGTTCAACAAAACAAAGTGATTGTTACAGGTTTGTAACTACATGCAAATGATGCCAGAAGTTTCATTTTTTTGGGTGGACTATCCCTTTAACATGTACCTGATATTGATTTTACTCCTTGTGTTTGTTGCTGTAGATGTGGTGGTGATTGTCGGTGACCTGACTGACTCTCAGGTGACTCGATTGAAGAGCGCTGCAGAACCACTGGGACAGATGAAGGCTCAACTGGGCTCCTATTTTGCTACAGGTCTGTCTTAGTAGCTGTTTGATACATGATGTTTTATTAAAGGGGTCATCAGATGCCCATTTTCCACAAGTTGATATGATTCTTTAAGGTCTTGATGAAAAGTCTATAACATACTTTGGTTAAAATTTCTCTATGATAGTGTAAAACAACACCCTCTGTTCATAGCGATCCGTTTCATTGCATGTCCCTTTAAATGCTAATAAGCTCCGCTCACCCCGCCCCTCTCTTCCGTGGGGTGATGCACTGTTCTCTGAGAGATGGTAAATTTTAGCCGCATTCATAGTGAAACTTGCTAACTAGCACATTATTAGGAAAGGCGATTTGCAAAGATTCATAAAAGAACCTTATACTCACTTCTTCTGTAGATGAAGCTGGATCCCGAATGATTCGCGCGAACATAGTCGCATTTAGGTAGATCGGGGGCACATTCCCTTCAAAACAAACGTAATCCACTGCGTCTTTAGCAGCTCAGATGTCGGGAGTAAATGACGATTGCCATCTTCATTATTTCATCCAACAACAAAGCACCTCAATCGCTTGGGAGACAATCTTGTCTACACCCGCTCCGGCGTCAAAACGATGGCGGACTGATGACAGCTCACTCAGGGCGGGTCTGTGATTAAACCAAAGACTGACGCCACTGTCAATCAACAATCATGGGAGGGGCCTGTGCAGAACGGCGTCATTCTGCCAAGAATCTGAGAATGGCTTGATATGAGAAAGTGGTTTGGATTTATCGGGATTTAAAAAGAAAAACATTTGGTGGATTTTTATCATTATAGGGTGGTTGTGTACACGCACTGCCAACTCACATTTTAGTTCAAACAACATGTAAAAGTGAATTTTGCATCCGATGACCCCTTTAACAAAGTTCTGGAGGAGCAAGTTCAGATAATTAACCTAATTAATACGAGAGGAGCACAATCAGTAATCAATCCAGTTAACAAGATAAGGGGTGTATATAGACACAGCAGACTTACCTCTGTTCCTTGACAGTTTTCCAGCATCCCTCCACCACCCAATCTCCGCACTTACAACTATTCCTATCCTAATTCTTCGGACCAAAATTCCGAGCTCGGAGCCCTCCCCTTGGACAGCACGCCAAATACGCATAACCTTTACTCTGTTTATTATATGTAAGTGTGAACTAGTGAAAAGGATGTAAATGAACATTTTGTGCACATCTTCACATTCATTATTGTGTGACTTTCAGGCAATCATGACTACTACACTGCCGATGTTGAAGGCTGGTTTGAGCTCTTGCGCTCAATGGGGATTCAGTCTCTTCATAACAGCCATGCAAAAGTGTTCCGTCCTGAACAAACAATTTTGCATTTGTGTAGGTCACACACACGCTGGTCAGCTGTTCCCCCTCACCATCCTGGCATTCCTGATGAATCCATTTTTCTGTGGACTCTACCGTGTCTCTGAACACACTATGGTCTATGTGACCCCTGGAACCGGTCATTATGGCATTCCGATGAGAATTGCAAGCCGTTCAGAAATTACAAACATTATATTGAAACGTGCTTGAGAGCCTCACACTGTGCAGTGCAGGGATCAAACACACAATCGCATCCATACATGTTCATTACCTCATTTCCCTGCATGCTGTCACAGTTATACATGTATTACATAGTAATGTATGCATAATATATCGGTCAAATATACTAGAGTTTGCACTACAATTTGCTTGAGCAATCTTACAAGCGATCTGTTTTACTATAGAGAATGAGACATTTTACACGTTTTAGTTGCCATCTATTTTCTTAATGTGGTATTGTAATTTGTTTGCCAAAACATGCTAAAAATCCAAGCACTTTAATATTTGAATATTCACATTCCAAAAGTGCCAGTTTATTTTAAATTACTAGATGTATTTTTACTGTTTTACTCAGGCCCCTTTCATCAGTTTTAATGATAGTTCATTACAAAATTAAAAAAATTAATTCAGTGCACTGTTTCGACTGTCACATTTGTGTGAGTCTATCAGGGACTTCATTAATTATCTGTTGTGACAAAAATTTGGATTAAAGGTTATTACTATAGCAAATCACCAGTCTCAAAATGCATCTTTTCTAAAAATGCCACGTGAGCTGCATGTTGTTTCATATATGTGACTCTGGACCACAAAACTAATCATAAGTAGCACCGGTATATTTGTAGCAATAGCCAACAATAAATTGTATGGGTCAAAATTATAAATTTTTCTTTTATGCCAAAAATCATTAGGAAATTAAGTCATGTTCCATGAAGATATTTTGTAATTTCCTACCGTAAATATATCAAAACTTAATTTTTTGATTAGTAATATGAATTGCTAAGAACTTACTTTGGACAACTGTAAAGGCGATTTTCTCAATATTTAGATTTTTTTTTTTTTGCATCCTCAGATTCCAGATATTCAAATAGTTGTATATCAGCCAAATATTGTCTTATACTAACAAATCGTACATCAATGGAAAGCTTATTTATTCAGCGTTCAGGTGATGTATATCTTTCTGACTGGTTTCTAAGGGTTTTAATAAAACCCTTATGACTGGTTTTGTGGTCCAGGGTCACATATTTGCAACCATACCTACCGCATAAAAAACAGCAACACTTGTGGAATGAAGAAATAATAGAAAATATATTTGCAACTTCCGATACGTTTATTTCATTAGTACTACGCTGTTGCACTTTTAAGTGTAGAAAGCATGATAAGCAATGCACATAAACAATATATTCACTTTTATTTTCCTCAAAACTTTACGATCGTGGCAAGTAAAAGTCTATTTTTCGGGTAGGAGGAGCTTTCTTCTTCACAGCCCGCGCCAGCGCTTGCTGTAGCACCGGATAGAGTTTGTGACAGCCATCCATGCAGGTTCTCACAGCATCGGCCAGTGTGTCTTCCCGCATCTCTCCGTCCGCATTCAGACCAGACACTTGATTCAGATTGGGAAGCAGAGCCACGGTGACACACCCCTGGTTCTCCCCGTAACCCTCCAGCCAGCTCCCACACTCCTCTGAGTATGAAGGGTCAACGAGACACGTGTTTCCATTCTGCCGCAGCGCACAACCCAACACCACATCATACATCTCAATACCGCCATCCGCCAGGGCCATAGAGGCGCATGTCACCGCATGCGCAAGGATCGAGCCGTCGTTCTCCAGAACCATGACATTAACCTCAATCTGAGAGCGCGGGTACCTGTGTAGGCAGACCCCTGGCTGCAAGCCCTCCAGTAGAGTCTGGGACAGATCTCTTTCCTCGCTGCCTTGGATCCAGGCACCCCGTTTCAAACATGAAAACGGAGCGAGCCTAAAGTCGCAAACAAGGCGACCGGTTTTCATGTCTGTTTCGTCCTTGCGTTCAATTTCTCTCGGCCCGTACACCGAGCATATAATCTTGGTGTTTCCAGCCTCGAGGTATGCGGAGCCCTTAGCCTGGCTGATCAGCCCGCAGCGCGCAAACACCGGCCGCACCTCTCCATTCCCCCTGACGCCTTGCCTGCTGCTGGCCTCGGGAGCTTTGTCTGGAGAAAGAAAGAGCAGCGGGGACTGCGACTCCTCCGGTCCACGGATACGTTTTGTGTCAACAGGCATTTTCAATAAACCCACGTGTTTACGGGAACATTACTTCTCAGGAGCGAAACTGTTCAAGTCTTGCTCGAGGAATCAAATGCGACAGGAGACTGCTAGTTACGCTCTACCGCCATCTGTCGGATAGGCGTGACATGACACAGCGGGAAATCGAGGTATGTCAGTTTGGGATGTTTCATTTCAAAGTTATATTTTGCTGCGTATTATTCACATTTTTATAAACCACACAAGATCATGTTTGTTCAGACCATCTGAATGCATAGCCTATATGTCTATATGTTGCTCAACAAACTCTGACAGCCATGTAGCCTAACAAATTCTGGAAGTTCACAAACAGCCTATACTTAATTTTCATTGCTTTGTGAACTTCCATCACTTTTTGTTAACCTCTTTAAAAATAAATGAAATAACGCTTATTCCTGAGTGCAGCCTATTCTTTGGCTCCTGTAGGCCTACAATATTCAATGTAAATGTAATGTAAGACTATAGGCTACTTTCTATATAGCCTATTTACATTCTCCTACATTTGTAGTTTTACTGTTTTAAATGAAATTTTAATATATATTTGCAATATAAATGTAAACATGCTATTTTATGAATATTGTCTGATTGGAATCCGGTAATGGCTTTTTAAAAGTAAGAGAGCCTCCTCACCATTAATAAATTAAATTAATATTCTTTAGAAATCTGAATATTATGTAGTGGAAAAAAGTAAACGAAGCAAAGAAATGGGAGTTCACAAACAAACAGAGTTTGTTTTAGGCCCTTTAAAGGGGTCATATGATGCGATTTCAATTTTTCCTTTCTCTTTGGAGTGTTACAAGCTCTTGGTGCATAAAGAAGATCTGTAAAGTTGCAAAGACTAAAGTCTCAAATCCAAAGAGATCAAATTCCTCCTAACATGCATCTTTAGAAAAACAATCATTTTACTCGGAACCCACCGTTACAAACACTAGCAAGTCTTTACAATATTTCTCACCTTGGGATGACATTTTTAAGGGGTCTTACTTGAGACAGCCTCACTCACTATACTAAACTGAACAAGTGCGGATGCTTTGGACGCAAACGCTCCAGAGGGAAACTTCCAAATCGTTTTCGTATTAGAATACAACAGAGCTGGAGAATGGAGGAACTGGCCCGGGAGAGTATCCGCAGCATCAGTCTGCTGTCCAGGCCTGCGCGGGGTTCGGACGTCCCGCGACTCGGATTCAACCTCTTCATGACCTCGGTGGCCTTTTTGGTGGTTGTGCAGGATCAGCTGGATAAGCGTAAGTTACGTGTGTGCTTGTGTTGTTCCATATGAGTTATTATGTTTCAGTGTGAGTAACTGTAACCGGTGAATGTGTATATATACACATGACAAAGACACAAAAGGATCTTTTACCCTTTTGAACATTACACCAAATACACAAAATAATGTTCTTTTTAGCAGCATCATATGACCCCTTTAAGAGGCACGTGCCTCAAGCAGCGCTTCAAATTAATGTTTGTTCAAAGGGTTTAAACAGGGTCGCAGCACTAATTAATTTGTCACGGCGCTGCACTTTATAAAATAACACCGAATTCCTCCTGTTGTAGTCAAAACGAGGGTCTCGTTTGATAAAGAAGCTTAAGTAGTCGCTCCTGTGTGAAATCAGCTGCAAATTCCTCCTAACATGCATCTTTAGAAAAACAATCATTTTACTCGGAACCCACCGTTACAAACACTAGCAAGTCTATACAATATTTCTCACCTTGGGATGACATTTTTAAGGGGTCTTACTTGAGACAGCCTCACTCACTATACTAAACTGAACAAGTGCGGATGCTTTGGACGCAAACGCTCCAGAGGGAAACTTCCAAATCGTTTTCGTATTAGAATACAACAGAGCTGGAGAATGGAGGAACTGGCCCGGGAGAGTATCCGCAGCATCAGTCTGCTGTCCAGGCCTGCGCGGGGTTCGGACGTCCCGCGACTCGGATTCAACCTCTTCATGATCTCGGTGGCCTTTTTGGTGGTTGTGCAGGATCAGCTGGATAAGCGTAAGTTGTGTGTGCTTTGTGTTGTTCCGTATGAGTTATTATGTTTCAGTGTGAGTAACTGTAACAGGTGAATGTGTAAGTGATTCTAACTGAAATATTGCGCTTTTGGGAACGACGGGCCATAATTACATCTGTGTTTGAGAGTCGGTGCCGTCTGATTCTAACAATTCTCTGGATCACTGTGACTCTCCTCATCGCCATCTACATACCAGACATGAGTGAGGCCATCAGCGTAATCGGGGGAATTAGCGCTTTCTTTCTTTCTTTTTCCTGGTGAGACACTCAATTAAACAATTACAATCTCACCAACACACATTAAGCATGCATAAATACTCTACCGTTCAAAAGTTTTGGGTTGGTAAGATTCATTAATATTTATGCTCACCAAGGCTGCATTTATTTGATCAAAAATACAGTAAAAACGGTAATATTATGGAATATTAATACAATTAAACTTTTATTCCTGTGATGGCAAAAGCTGTATTTTCAGCATCCATTAATCTAGTCTTCAGCGTCATATGATCCATCATCTTATATGAAATCATTCTTATATGCTGATTTGGTGCTCAAGAAACATTTCATATTATTATTATTATTACAGTTGAAAACAGTTGTGCTGCCTAATGTTATTGTGAAAGCTATGAAACATTTTGTCAGAATTCTTTGATAAATAGAAAGTTTAAAAGTACAGCATTTATTTGAAATAGACATCTTTTGTAACAATGTAAAAGTATTCAATTTTAATTAATTTAATGCATCCTTGCTAAATAAAAGTATAAATTTATTTGGGGGAAAAAGAAGCTTTTGAATGATAGTGTACATACATATACATTCAAAGAGACTGTGAGATAATATTGACCAATGGGTTTTTTTTTTTTGGGTAGGGCTGTGTCTCATTTTTTCCATGCAGACAGAGCCTATAAATCGCAGGATCAGGTGTGTAACATCTTGTGTATGTTTAAAGAGAGCCAAGTCAAGTCATTTTAATTTCCTGACTATTTCCTCTGGTCTCTTATTCTAGCCGTTTTTCATATATTCATAGTGTATCTAAAAATACAGTTTTGAATTACTTTCTCCCTTTTACACACACCTTCTTTAATTTATTTTGTTTGTTCCTTCCAGAGCTCTCTTGACAGGGTGGGGTGTGGTGACTGTCGTTACTGGAGCTTTTATCTTTGGCCAGAGCACATCTATAGCTGTTATGGAGCTGATGCACAAGTTTTAATTTACGTCATGGTCTTCATCATTTGGAATATCATTGTCTTGACAAAATGTGTTTATATATTTGATTGATGAATGATAAACCGTATGATACTTGAAACTGGGGAAGAGTAGCAGCTACATGTTTTAGAAGAAAATGTCACACCACAGTGCCTTATGCTTGTATTGCTGTTACTGCTCAGTTTTATATGTTGTGTGTGTTTGTGCGTGTGTGACTAAGAAAATGTGTTGGAGGATTTTTGTTTATATATTTATTATATTGCGTAGGTTTAGACAAGAAGAGTAGATTTATTTAAATGTGTTATATGGAATGAATATTGAAGTATGTGAATACAAATATAAAGAATGACTTTGGAACATTTGCAATAACTTATTAAAATGAATTAACATTTGCCTTAATGTGAGTGTGTATGAAACACTGTTCATGATATGGTGTTGTAATGCCAAAAATGAAATTAACCAGGAAAAGAGACATTTTTTTATTGTGCTAATTTGACCATATTAATCTTTTTAGAACAGCATTTATTTATGTGTCTAATGTGGATATTTAGATCTGTTGCACTGTAAACAAGAATTCATGCATTCAAAATAGGTTTGGGTCAAGTTCGTAGGACAATAGCAGGGTTAAATAATTCTGGAAAGAAAAGGAATTCAGTGGATGAGGTAAGAAAACTGATCCCAAACACATCGGGTCACATGACAAGGAACCGGAAGTAGGTTAACCTTAGACGTTGAGCTGGACTGTTTGGAGCGCAGAGCTGAACCCAGTCAACCTATTTCGAAGAAAACGCGCACAATAAACGCCTCGTTAACTCTTGGTATATGGTGCTTATACGAAGCGATTAAAAGCCGTAGACTCATGGATGAAGTGTGTTGATAGCCTCTGAGGGCACTTAACCGTGTGAAGTGGCAGTCATTTGAGTGAATTAGCAGGTTAGCCGAGCTCCATCATGACAGTGGCGGTGTTTTTCGGCTGTACGTTCATCGCTTTCGGGCCAGCAGTCGCTTTGTTCCTGTTTACAATCGCCAGGGACCCGCTGCGCGTGATCTTCCTCATAGCAGGGTAGGTTTCTGGGCAGATGGGCTTCCCTCATCCCCCGCTGTGAGTGCGGTTCAGTGTGATACAGCCTGTTTTTATATAGTCTATGGATACAGCATTGTATCTGGGCTCAGAACTGCCTTCAAATCTGCTGCTTGTTTACACAAATCACTAGGATCTGAGGCTTAGAAATATCATTACAAGATACAACTTTAAACTCTAACAACTTTAAATGCAAAGAGAAGTTTGGAAATTGAAAGATATTTAAACGAATAGTTTGGGGTCAGTAAGATTTCTTTAATAATTGTGTTCAGCAAGAATGCATTAAACTGATTAAAAGTGAGAGTAAGACTTTTACATGACGTTCTTTTAAAGTTTATATTCATAAAAAAATTGTTTCCACAAAAATATGAAACGGCACAATGAAGAATGATTTCTGAAGATCATATGACACTAAAAACTGTAGTATAATAGCTGCTGAAAAAATCAGCTTGCGGTTGTAAAATGTATTTAGAGAAATTATTTGTTTTAAATTGTAATAATATTTCTCAATGTATTTTTGATCAAATCAATGCAGCCTTGGTAAGACTTGTTTAAAAAACATTAAAAACAAAAATCTTACCGACCTCAGACGACAGTAGTGTATATTTTGAACAAGAGGGTGAACAATGATAGGAATTATTATTATTATTATTTTTTTGAACTAGCTACTCTTTTAAGAGCACTAGCAAGCAATGGAATGGGGAGGGAAGGTTTTGGTGACTGGGAATTTTTGAGCAGTTTAAAAAAAAAAAAATATGTGACAGTATTTGTAACATGATTGTGTTTGTTTCAGGGCTTTCTTCTGGCTGGTGTCTTTGTTGCTGTCCTCTCTTGTGTGGTTCATCACAGTTCAGATCAGCAACAAGAACAGTGCAGCTCAGCAGAGAGGGCTGCTCATCTTCGGGGTTGTGCTCTCTGTGCTGCTTCAGGAGGCATTCAGATATGGTTACTACAGATTGCTGAAGTAAGAATTAACTGTTCATTTTCTGTGTTTGAAAGGAGCCACATAATCAATAAACCTAAATATAATGGAATATCGTGTTCTTGAGCATTGACTGCATTAATATAACACTAAACAGTGGCAGGGCTGTATTTTGTGTGTTTGCTTTGAGGTCATGTGAATGCTAGTTTACACTTGAACCTACACTTCACTTTTAGATAAACACATTTGAAATGTGCTGAATTTTCAGCAGCCATTACTCCAGTCTTTAGTGACGCATGATTCTTCAGAAATCATTGTGATATGCTGATTTGGTGCTCAAGAAACATTTATTATTATCATCAGTGTTGAAAACCGTTGTGCTGCTTAAGATTTTTGTGGAAACCGTGATACATTGTTTTTTTTTTCAGGATTCTTTGATGATTAGAAATCTCAAAAGAACAGAATTTATTTGAAAGGCCGGGACACGGCATCAACAGTATGTGAGGGGCGTAACATTTCCGTCTCACGCTTGAGGTATTCGGCCAATCACAACGCATTGGATAGCTGGCCAATCACAGCACACCTCGCTCTTCAGACCGATTAGCTTTGTAAAAATCGACGTGTTTCAGAAAGGCGGGGCATAGAGGAGAAACAATAATGTACAGTATGTGGAAAATAATGTGTTTTTTAAACTTTAAACCGCATAAACACATTTCATTACACCAAATACACAAAATAATGTTCTTTTTAGCAGCATCATATGACTCCTTTAAATCAATGTGTTAAACGAATTAAGTAATCTACCCAGCACTGTTCCCGAATAGCCTTGGCTCCTCTCCTAAATTTAATGTAAATGTAATGTAAATACACAGAAAAAAAATTTCTTTCTTTATATATTTCTTTATATATTCTTTATATATTTACATTACATTTGCATTATGTTTTACAGCCAGCTGTAATATATTTATTATATTATATTTAAAAGTGACAGAGCCTCCACACTATTAAATTAAATTAATATGATTTATAAATCCGAATATTATGTAGTGGAAATAAATGTAAACGAAGCAAAGAAATGAAAGTTCACAAACAAATTTGAGTTTTAGTCCCTTTAAGAGGCACGTGCCTCAAGCAAGCGCTTCAAATGAATGTTTGTTCAAAGGGCTCGAACAGGGTCGCTAGACGAGCACTAATTAAATTGCCACGGCGCTTCACTTTAGAAAATAACATGAATTCCTCCTGTTTTAGACAAAACGAGGGTCTCGTTTGATAAGGAAGCTGAAGTAGCCTATAGTCGCTCCTGTGTGAAATCAGCTGCAAATTCCTCCTAACGAGCATCATTAGAAAAGCAATCATTTAGACTCGGAACCCACCGTTACAAACGCTAACAAGTCTTTACAATATTTCTCACCTTGGGATGACATTTTTAAGGGGTCTTACTTGAGACAGCCTCACTCGCTATACTAAACGGAACAAAGATTCTGCACTAGTGCGGATGCTTTGGACATAACGCTCCACTTTTACAGAGGGAAGCTTCTTAGGTCGTTTTCGTATTAGAATAGGCTACAACAGAACGTTAGTATTGTGATTATTTTCAGCCTTCGCACTGAGCATGGAGGAACTGGCCCGGGAGAGTATACGCAGCATCAGTCTGCTATCCAAACCTGCGCGGGGCTCGGACGTCCCGCGACTTGGATCGTTTGGGGCCATATTCATCATGCTTAAATCTGCCCTCGGCGCGGGACTCCTTAACTTTCCATGGGCTTTTGAGAAGGCTGGCGGCGTGAACACAGCCATCAGTGTGGAGATGGTGCGTTGTAATTCTGACAAGTGTAGATGAGTCATGTTTTTTTTTCAGCAGAGAACAGTGAGCAGAGTCAAATTATTATTATTATCGTTATTAATATTATTGTTTATTTATTTATTTTTTTGAAAGACTATCTTTAAACCACTGATAACTTGTATACATCTTGCTGTACAAGCATTTGTGTGACAGTTTTCAATCAAATCATCCTTTGAGATATTCTGTATTAATACAAAATTTACATTCAGTACTGTCTTTGAATAAGTTTTTTAACGATTTTTAAGAGAAATCTCTTATATTCAGAAAGCTACATTTGTGATCAAAATACAGTAAAACAGTAATATTGTAAAATATTATTACAGTTTAAAATAACTGTTTTCTATTTTAATATATTTTAAAATGTAATTTATTCCTGTGATGGCAAAGCTGAATTTTCAGCAGCAATTATTCCAGTCTTTAGTGTCACATGATCCTTCAGAAATCATTCTAATATGTTGATTTGGTGCTCTGTTATTATTAATAGTTCTTATTATTATCAGTTTTAGTAATACTTTAGTAATACTTCTTTCAGTATTCTTTGATGAATAGAAAGTTTAATGAATATTTATTTAAAAAAAATAACATTTTGTAACATTTTAAATGTCTTTGCTATCACTTTTGATCAACTTAATGTGTCTTTTCTGAATAAAAGAATTTATATTTATTCATTCCTCTTTTTTTTCAATGTAGTGTATCACGGTTTCCACAAAAATATTAAGCAGCAAAAACAGTTTTTAATTGAAAGGTGATAGGTATTTTAGAGTAAACTACATTCTTTAATCAGCAAGGAACTTTTAAAGAAACAGCCGTAAGCCTTTTTACACAGCAGTGCTAATGTGGATACGGCCGAAAAAGAATATGTAGATTGTGATGCAATTCAACATCTTTCTCTCAGGTATCTCTGGTTTTTCTCATAAGCGGGTTGGTCATTCTCGGCTACGCCTCATCAATCAGTCGGCAGAACACGTATCATGATGTGGTACGAGAGGTGTGTGGACAGAGGATTGGCCATCTGTGTGAGATCTGCTTTGTTTTCAACCTCTTCATGATCTCTGTGGCCTTTTTGGTGGTTGTGCAGGATCAGCTGGATAAGCGTAAGTTGTGTGTGCTTTGTGTTGTTCCGTATGAGTTATTATGTTTCAGTGTGAGTAACTGTAACCGGTGAATGTGTATATATACACATGACAAAGACACAAAAGGATCTTTTACCCTTTTGAACATAAGTGTCTGTGTGTTTCAGTGTGTCTGTCTCTGTATGAGACAGTGACGGGAAATACAGAAGGAGAGATGCCATATCACTGGTACACAGATCACCGTTTTGCGCTCTTTGTCACGTGCTTCATTATCATCCTTCCACTCTCTGTACCCAAAGAGATCGGCATCCAGAAATACACCAGGTGTGTTAAAAGCTGACACATATATCTGCTACTCCCTAAATCTTTTTTATACCACCTTCTAGCCTTTTTAATGTCTAGTGAAAAGTACTACATATTTCCCTCAATCTCCTACCACTGTCCCACTTTAACCTGCTGTATCCATCATTAACTCTTAATGTTTCTTTGTGTTTAATGCTTTGTGTCCAGTGTATTGGGAACTCTGGCTGCTACATACCTGAGTGTAGCTATTATCGCAAAATATTATCTAAAAGATGAGCACACAGCAGACCTCACACCAGAGCACAGTCAAGGGTGAGTTATATGTAAAGAACATGTTTTCCATAAAGTTGAGTTCATGTATATATTATTCATAAGAGTTTAATATCAGTGGTTTGTTTGGGTTATTTGTAACAGATTGGACTCATGGGCCTCTATGTTCAGTGTGGTCCCTACTATCTGTTTTGGTTTCCAGGTCAGATTCTCTAAAAAATTATTAGATAACAATCAGTATGCAAATATTATTTCTGTGCAGAGATAAAATTATTATTTCTTTAAATCAACGGTGCCCTATTTGCAAATTTCTGTGTTGTACATTTGACCATTGTGATTGCTGAAAGCTCATAAACTGTAATCTTTATTTATATTACAGTGTCATGAAGCTTGTATTGCTATATACAGCAGCATGGAAAACAAAAAGATTACACACTGGGTTTTCATCTCAGTCACTTCTATGATTTTCTGCCTGATTATTTATACTCTCACAGGTGAGTCATATTTGTAGAGCTCAATCTATAGTGTTATTATTATAAATATTTTCATGTAAGTTTTTGAGTTTTAAATAAGAGACTGACACTTTGTTGCAATATGGCAGGTGTGTTTGGTTTTCTTACATTTGGGCGAGAAGTAGCCTCAGATATCCTGATGTCATATCCTGGAAATGATGTAATGATGATTATTGCTAGGCTGCTGTTTGGGATTTCGATCGTCACCATCTATCCTATAATACTGCTGCTGGGAAGGTACCGTAAACCACAAATAAATGTGCATATAGCTCCCTACACACACACTGTGTACACACACTCATGTGTCAATGATTGCGTCTTGTTCACAGGTCAGTGATTCTAACTGAAATATTGCGCTTTTGGGAACGACGGGCCATAATTACATCTGTGTTTGAGAGTCGGTGCCGTCTGATTCTAACAATTCTCTGGATCACTGTGACTCTCCTCATCGCCATCTACATACCAGACATGAGTGAGGCCATCAGCGTAATCGGGGGAATTAGCGCTTTCTTTCTTTCTTTTTCCTGGTGAGACACTCAATTAAACAATTACAATCTCACCAACACACATTAAGCATGCATAAATACTCTACCGTTCAAAAGTTTTGGGTTGGTAAGATTCATTAATATTTATGCTCACCAAGGCTGCATTTATTTGATCAAAAATACAGTAAAAACGGTAATATTATGGAATTTTAATACAATTAAACGTTTATTCCTGTGATGGCAAAAGCTGTATTTTCAGCATCCATTAATCTAGTCTTCAGCGTCATATGATCCATCATCTTATATGAAATCATTCTTATATGCTGATTTGGTGCTCAAGAAACATTTCATATTATTATTATTATTACAGTTGAAAACAGTTGTGCTGCCTAATGTTATTGTGAAAGCTATGAAACATTTTGTCAGAATTCTTTGATAAATAGAAAGTTTAAAAGTACAGCATTTATTTGAAATAGACATCTTTTGTAACAATGTAAAAGTATTCAATTTTAATTAATTTAATGCATCCTTGCTAAATAAAAGTATAAATTTATTTGGGGGAAAAAGAAGCTTTTGAATGATAGTGTACATACATATACATTCAAAGAGACTGTGAGATAATATTGACCAATGGGTTTTTTTTTTTTGGGTAGGGCTGTGTCTCATTTTTTCCATGCAGACAGAGCCTATAAATCGCAGGATCAGGTGTGTAACATCTTGTGTATGCTTAAAGAGAGCCAAGTCAAGTCATTTTAATTTCCTGACTATTTCCTCTGGTCTCTTATTCTAGCCGTTTTTCATATATTCATAGTGTATCTAAAAATACAGTTTTGAATTACTTTCTCCCTTTTACACACACCTTCTTTAATTTATTTTGTTTGTTCCTTCCAGAGCTCTCTTGACAGGGTGGGGTGTGGTGACTGTCGTTACTGGAGCTTTTATCTTTGGCCAGAGCACATCTATAGCTGTTATGGAGCTGATGCACAAGTTTTAATTTACGTCATGGTCTTCATCATTTGGAATATCATTGTCTTGACAAAATGTGTTTATATATTTGATTGATGAATGATAAACCGTATGATACTTGAAACTGGGGAAGAGTAGCAGCTACATGTTTTAGAAGAAAATGTCACACCACAGTGCCTTATGCTTGTATTGCTGTTACTGCTCAGTTTTATATGTTGTGTGTGTTTGTGCGTGTGTGACTAAGAAAATGTGTTGGAGGATTTTTGTTTATATATTTATTATATTGCGTAGGTTTAGACAAGAAGAGTAGATTTATTTAAATGTGTTATATGGAATGAATATTGAAGTATGTGAATACAAATATAAAGAATGACTTTGGAACATTTGCAATAACTTATTAAAATGAATTAACATTTGCCTTAATGTGAGTGTGTATGAAACACTGTTCATGATATGGTGTTGTAATGCCAAAAATGAAATTAACCAGGAAAAGAGACATTTTTTTATTGTGCTAATTTGACCATATTAATCTTTTTAGAACAGCATTTATTTATGTGTCTAATGTGGATATTTAGATCTGTTGCACTGTAAACAAGAATTCATGCATTCAAAATAGGTTTGGGTCAAGTTCGTAGGACAATAGCAGGGTTAAATAATTCTGGAAAGAAAAGGAATTCAGTGGATGAGGTAAGAAAACTGATCCCAAACACATCGGGTCACATGACAAGGAACCGGAAGTAGGTTAACCTTAGACGTTGAGCTGGACTGTTTGGAGCGCAGAGCTGAACCCAGTCAACCTATTTCGAAGAAAACGCGCACAATAAACGCCTCGTTAACTCTTGGTATATGGTGCTTATACGAAGCGATTAAAAGCCGTAGACTCATGGATGAAGTGTGTTGATAGCCTCTGAGGGCACTTATTTGCGTGAAGCGGCAGTCATTTGAGTGAATTAGCAGGTTAGCCGCGCTCCATCATGACAGTGGCGGTGTTTTTCGGCTGTACGTTCATCGCTTTCGGGCCAGCAGTCGCTTTGTTCCTGTTTACAATCGCCAGGGACCCGCTGCGCGTGATCTTCCTCATAGCAGGGTAGGTTTCTGGGCAGATGGGCTTCCCTCATCCCCCGCTGTGAGTGCGGTTCAGTGTGATACAGCCTGTTTTTATAGATACAGCACATACAGCACTGTATCTGGGCTCAGAACTGCCTTCAAATCTGCTGCTTGTTTACACAAATCTGAGGCTTAGGAGGCTTAGAAATATCATTACAAGATACAACTTTAAACTCTAACAACTTTAAATGCAAAGAGAAGTTTGGAAATTGAAAGATATTTAAACGAATAGTTTGGGGTCAGTAAGATTTCTTTAATAATTGTGTTCAGCAAGAATGCATTAATCTGATTAAAAGTGAGAGTAAGACTTTTACATGACGTTCTTTTAAAGTTTATATTCATAAAAAAATTGTTTCCACAAAAATATGAAACGGCACAATGAAGAATGATTTCTGAAGATCATATGACACTAAAAACTGTAGTATAATGGCTGCTGAAAAAATCGGCTTGCGGTTGTAAAATGTATTTAGAGAAATTATTTGTTTTAAATTGTAATAATATTTCTCAATGTATTTTTGATCAAATCGATGCAGCCTTGGTAAGACTAGTTTAAAAAACATTAAAAACAAAAATCTTACCGACCTCAATCGTTTGACAGTAGTGTATATTTTGAACAAGAGGGTGAACAATGATAGGAATTATTATTATTATTATTTTTTTGAACTAGCTACTCTTTTAAGAGCACTAGCAAGCAATGGAATGGGGAGGGAAGGTTTTGGTGACTGGGAATTTTTGAGCAGTTTAAAAAAAAATATGTGACAGTATTTGTAACATGATTGTGTTTGTTTCAGGGCTTTCTTCTGGCTGGTGTCTTTGTTGCTGTCCTCTCTTGTGTGGTTCATCACAGTTCAGATCAGCAACAAGAACAGTGCAGCTCAGCAGAGAGGGCTGCTCATCTTCGGGGTTGTGCTCTCTGTGCTGCTTCAGGAGGCATTCAGATATGGTTACTACAGATTGCTGAAGTAAGAATTAACTGTTCATTTTCTGTGTTTGAAAGGAGCCACATAATCAATAAACCTAAATATAATGGAATATCGTGTTCTTGAGCATTGACTGCATTAATATAACACTAAACAGTGGCAGGGCTGTATTTTGTGTGTTTGCTTTGAGGTCATGTGAATGCTAGTTTACACTTGAACCTACACTTCACTTTTAGATAAACACATTTGAAATGTGCTGAATTTTCAGCAGCCATTACTCCAGTCTTTAGTGACGCATGATTCTTCAGAAATCATTGTGATATGCTGATTTGGTGCTCAAGAAACATTTATTATTATCATCAGTGTTGAAAACCGTTGTGCTGCTTAAGATTTTTGTGGAAACCGTGATACATTGTTTTTTTTTTCAGGATTCTTTGATGATTAGAAATCTCAAAAGAACAGAATTTATTTGAAATAGTCGAGACATTTATAATGTTACAAAGTATTTCTGTCAGTCAAAAGTTTTAATTTCTGTAAAAAAAAAAACTGTTGCGCTGTCTCACCCAATCTTCCTGTTTCAGTAGGAAACACTCAACACAAGACAGAAAACATTATTAAACAATCCCTTTTCAGATTCCATGGGGTCTTTAAATAACTAAAATATCCCGTTGGTGAATCACATTGGCGTTCAGTGTTGGTGTTGTGTTGGAGGGTTGTTGTTAACGTCTGTTATTGTATCTCTCCCAGGAAAGCAAATGAAGGCCTGTTGGCGCTCAGTCAGGAGGACACCATGCCCATCTCCATGCGGCAGCTAGCTTATGGTAAACATCCATCATGCTTCAAGTAGTCCAATAAACAGCCAGTGTTTAAGTGTGTGTGTCGTTGGTTTGCAGTGTCCGGTCTGGGCTTTGGCTTCATGAGCGGAGCGTTCTCTGTGGTCAACATACTCTCTGATTCCTTGGGACCGGGAACCGTCGGTATCCATGGCGACTCTCAACATTACTTCATATCCTCAGGTAATGAGATGCCAGCCTGAGAATCATATTGAGTGACTCAAGCATTCAGCATATGCTTTCTCTCCACAGCTTTTATGACACTGGCCATTATCTTGCTGCATATGTTCTGGGGGGTTGTTTTCTTCGAGTCATGTGAGCGACAGAGATGGTGGGCTCTTGGAGCGGTGGTCATCAGTCATCTAGTAGTATCATGTCTGGTAGGTGAACACAGCATGAAGTAATGCAGCGGTTCCCAAACTATATATATATATATAATGTATGTATATTTATAACCCATTATAATCAGTGACTGTCTGCACTGGATGCGCAGTGCGACATGACACTACACATCCCCGACAGTAAACTTATGCCTCGTTCTATTTATGACGTGTTAAAATGATTTTTAACACTCGCTTTGTCGCGTCAAGTGTAGACAGACTTTAGCTGTTGCGGCGCAGCGCGGTGATAACTCCACATCTGAGCCGCTGTCATCGGAAGCCTGCGTGTTGCCCTACAGTCTATGGTGTTGCCAGATGTTGAGGGGGTTCTTGCCATCATGGACCGCAACATAGTGCTCGTTGGCTTTAAAGCAGGGCACCCTCCTGCATTCTTAACACACTCTGAGGTGTGCACGAGCGCATTTAGAGTCTGTAATGAGCTGATTTCGTGTATGAGTATAGAAGCCCTATGACTACAACTACCATCATTTGAATTGTCATAAAATTACAAATTATCGTACATGGGATTTTTTTCATTATTGATCGTACATCGTATAGAGGTCAAAATGATTGTACAAATACGATAATTATCGTACATCTGGCAACACTGACTGTATGAAATGTAAGATGATGTACAGGTCTGGGCCAGTGCGTTATTTTTTCATAACTAATTAATAAAGTTAACGCGTTAAACTGACAGCCCTAATATTTATTTATATGTGTATATATATATATATATATTATTATTGATTATTATTATATTTTTAACTCCATTTACAAAAATTAAGATATAAATATATTTCTGTTTTAAATTACAGTTTTCCTGTAAAGTAAAAAAATAATAATTGTTTGATAATTAAATTATATATCATGTATATTTAATTATGTAATGCAATTATGCAAGTTAATATATAATACTATTAGTTAATATATTATATATATGAACAATATTAATATTTAATATTTCAGAATAATATTAAGTTCTTCACTTTCAAAACTTCAGGCTTTTATTTTGGCAGAATACTAGTGAACTTTTATACACAGAAATGTTGGAAATTGTGCAAACATTGTATCCCAAAATTCACATTAAACTCACTGCACGTACAGAGATGGATTTCTTCAGAAGCAGCATTTACTGTGCTAAGCTGTATTGTGATTTTAGTTTTATTTTGATTATTTTCATTATGATTGTGGCACATTTATTCATCTTAATTTTGCATTCAATTTAATTCTTTTCATCAACGCAGTTCCCTCACGAACAGTAATCGTTACTCAGAGAAGAGCAGTAGACACAAGCAGCTGACTCACTCTGATCACAAGTGCATCATGTGAGAGACAGTTTTTTCATCTTTGTATTGGTACTTTTTTCCACACAGACATTTGTGAATCCACACTATCAAGGCAGTCTGGTCCCGACCTACATCATACTGTCTGTCATGGCGGCCTGGGCGTACTTGTGTGCTGGAGGTCACCTTACGTTTTATAAGTGAAACACACACACAACCACGGTAGCGTTCACCCTCGCGGGCGAAGAGGCTCCTTTAATCTCACAACGCGCTTGTTTACAAAAAGCACGTGCCAACGCGGCAGTCTAAAGCCTCGCGGATAAAGAGACTCCGGTCAGCCAGATACAACAAAAGAACGCGCAGCGAAATCTTACCATCAAACAGCTTTCATCGATAGTAGGAGGCAAAAAAGAGAAAGCGCCGGCTACATCGCACCTGTATTTATAGACCGTGATTGCAAGCGGGGCGTGGTTAATTTGATATACCGTCTCCTGACAGCTCATCCTTAGCGAGGCTGACCCATACTGTGGCGTGTTGACTTAGATGAAATAGAACTTAACTTTATTTTAATATATTTTAAACTTTCATTAGTCCTTTGATGGAAAAGCTGAATTTTCAGCAGTCAGTGTTGTATGATCCTTCAGAAAGAATGATGAAATATGATTTATTGCTCAAGAAATATTTACAATCCCATTATAAATGTCTCTACTGTTACATTCAATTTAAAGTGTGTGGAATAAAATAATAAAAAAATAATCTTAAACCTAAACTTTGGCTTTTTTTTTTCCAGGTCATTTTGTGCTTTTGAATTTGTGAGCAAAAATGCAACAAAAATGCTGTTTCAGATTCAAACATTTATTGCATCTGACATAAGAAACCTGGTGTAGGCGGTTCAAAAAATTCAAATAAATACAGATACTCATGTAAAACAATCTCCTAATGAAGCATTATACACAATGTACAATTTTTTTTCTTTTTTTGTCATTCTATACATTTTTTTTAAAAATAAAACACTTTCATGCAGAATATCCTGAAAAAAAGGTAGAGCCAAAAAAGAATGAATAGTGGAGAAAGACTGCGCTTCAAAGTAAAGAGAAGGAATATACATCAACACATGTGCGAGTGTGTAAACAGATTGTGCGGCCCACCCAAGTTCAGCTTAATTGCTAAGAAACCAAAAGAGAAAGAAAAACACTTCATTATGTGTTTAAGATGTATATGTGAAAACATCGGTAATCAGAAAAATCATAAAAGCCTGCACCGAATAGTCCTACACAGACTGTGTTTACGTGTGCATGCAGGGGGGTCAGTAATCTGTGTCCGACCCCTCTGCGTTGTCCACATTGCGGGAGAGCATGTAGTTGTCCATGTCGATAGAACGGCAGTTATTAATAGCATAACGCAGCCGCTCCGCCATGACCGACTGGCTAGAGTAAGGTGGGAGGCGGAGCTGGAAGAAGCACGTCTGAGAGGTGGGAAGACTATCGTATGGCTGAAAAACAGCAAAAACACGTTAGTATATAAACACACATTAGCCGCTTTTCCACCGGCTATAAATGTCCATTCATAAAAACAGACATATTCTTACCCGGTCCACCTTCATGATCTGGAACCTTTGGGATATGTCAGCAGTGTTAGCTGGCAGACGGGAGCGTCCCGAGACGAAGCGCATGAAGAGGACTCTCTCCTCATTGGAGAACTCCTCCAGCGTCTGCCAGAACCACTGCACCAGCTGTTGCTGTTCGTCCACCTCCCTGTAGCGGACCACCTTCTTCAGAACCTCCACGCTGATCTCCGGCAGCCCACAGACCATCTGCTCCAGCTGCCGCGCTGTTAGTAAGGAGAGCAAGGGAACAGGCACGATCCAGGACATGCCCTCACGCACCGCCGCCACCTAACGCGTGTTCAGAGGGGAACGCAACAGAAGAGATGAACAACAGGATGAGATGACAAGTCATTATCTAGGTGTGGATACACTCCCGCATATTCAAAGAAAGGATACAGTGATTTAGACACAAATGAGAGTTGAGCTGAGCACACCTGGCGATCCATTTCATGCAGGCGATACTCAATGGCACGCTCTACATGTAGACACAAGCAGCTGACTCACTCTGATCACAAGTGCATCATGTGAGAGACAGTTTTTTCATCTTTGTATTGGTACTTTTTTCCACACAGACATTTGTGAATCCACACTATCAAGGCAGTCTGGTCCCGACCTACATCATACTGTCTGTCATGGCGGCCTGGGCGTACTTGTGTGCTGGAGGATCTTTGAGGAACCTCAAACTCTGCCTCACCTGTAAAGATAAAGACTTCTTGCTGGCCAATCACAGGCCAAGATAACCCATCAGCTACAAACAGGACTTTCTCCAAAGACCGGCTCATTGAGCCAGGAGGCCGACGACACGGCCAGCAGCCCTGGACTCTGGGAGGCCTGTGGTCTGGGTAGTCTGCATAAGAATGGATGCTGAGTAACAGGAATTTTATGTCTGCAGATCTTGCACTTTCTGTAATTACCTCCTCTTCTGTTTTCTGTTCTCTGTTCTGTACCTCATGTTCTGTGTGAGAGAGACACTGAAACCATGTCAAAGAGAGCGCGTGTGTTTTATACTAAAGAATTGTCTTGAGCTACTTTCATATGTGATTTTCTCCTTTGTAGCAGGTTTTAAAGGCACAATATGTAATTTTCGCCGCTAGAGGGCGCATATTCAAAATAAACAAATAGACAAAGGCATAGTTAGATGACGCTGTGACTGAGTGTGGAATCATGGGAGTTGTGGTCTTCATCCCCATCAGAACCTCCACGCTGATCTCCGGCAGCCCACAGACCATCTGCTCCAGCTGCCGCGCTGTTAGTAAGGAGAGCAAGGGAACAGGCACGATCCAGGACATGCCCTCACGCACCGCCGCCACCTAACGCGTGTTCAGAGGGGAACGCAACAGAAGAGATGAACAACAGGATGAGATGACAAGTCATTATCTAGGTGTGGATACACTCCCGCATATTCAAAGAAAGGATACAGTGATTTAGACACAAATGAGAGTTGAGCTGAGCACACCTGGCGATCCATTTCATGCAGGCGATACTCAATGGCACGCTCTACATACTCCTTCCTATTGGAAAAGGTCAGCGGTATGCTGTTTCCTCCGGGGATGATGGGAACCATTTTCCCATCAGCACTTTGGCCAACAAATGAGTCCAGTGGAATCATCTACATATATATAAAAAAAGAAAAACAAATGAACAAAGAAATATACACTAAGTAATAAAGTAAAAGAAATTAAACCAATTAAAAAAGAACTTCCTATGAGTCCATGTTTTAAGTAGACATTTTAACATTTGAAATCCCCCAAGTTACTTCTGCTCATTTTCAACCGCTTTTATTTATAGAAACTAGGAAATTAATCAAATTAATGTAATACTTAAATATTTATATAAATATTATTAATTATATGTATAATAATAGTAGTAGTAATAATAATAACAATATTTATGTAAATAATAAAAATAATTCAAGTCTGTAATTCTGCAAGTTTTAATAACCATGTTCTTGATAATTACCAATTAATGTATGACTTTCCTAGCCATTTATGGTTAAAGGGATTTTAAATCAGGGTTCTTACACCTTTTCCAAAGTACAATTCAAGCACTTTCAAGGTGCATTTTCAAGCTTTTCCAGCACTTTACAACTGTGGTAAAATACACGTTTACATACATACTTCTAGTTCTTCACTTTAAATCAGATGTTATTGTGCTATTAAGAACCACCTGTCTGGATTGCATTTAAAGGGTATCTGCAGGATTTTTAAAATAAAATGTAAGGCTTTTTAAGACTTGAAATACAAAAAGAATACAAAAAGTTTTAAATAGTGATAAACCTCACATTTCAGTCTTTAAACTATTTTTAAGAAAAGGGATTAGTCAAAAGTATAAATTATTATCTTACTTTAACACACACACACACACACATCTTGCTTTGTTAATCTTTTGGATTTTTGAAGGCACCTTTTATTTGTTCTGAACAAAAACAGCAAATTGCCAGCAGGTGGCGCTTTTGGAACGGCACAAATAATTTCCCCGGTAACGACTGTACATAAAGCAGTATTGCGCTCATTAACGCTACATTATCAGACATTATACGTAGGCAAGATGAAATGAAAATGCCATGAAAACTTTTCTGAGGGCAGGAGGTTCTCATCAGAGATAGTTTCATGTCAAAACACCCGCGCTGAGTTTTGACTTTGTTTTGTTTGTTTATTCAATGAAATCATACCACAAGTCAGCAAAATATATAACACTGTTCTAGTGGTTTTTGGATATTTTAATAAAAAAAATCTTACATATTGTGCCTTTAAATTAGGTTTTGTATAGGTTTGGCCTTAAATTGTTTACTCTCCCCCTGTATTTTATGTTTAGATGGCCAGTTAGGCTCAAATGATCCGCCACTATCCTGTCATCAGTTTTACAACAGATCTTTAATTCTCTGGCGATCAAACCCTGGAGAGTAACGTTGTTTTTGTTTGAATTCATGTGTGCTTGTCTTTTAAAAGATCCTCCTCAACTCTCCCTAGGGTAACAGTTTAATTTTCCCAGTGGAAAATATTTAAACTGCTTGGGCTTGATTGATGAATGCAGTGGCCACTCTTCAATAAAACCACTAATCTCTGAATCTATGCTACAGGAAGCTCTGGATGATTTTAAACACATAGGTGACCACTGACTCCAGTGGTATCCGTCTTAGATGTCACTTTTATTGGGCTCATATGCTTTTAGTTTCCTTTTGACTGTAAGGTGTATGAAATTTTCATTCACAATAAAGTAGCTTAAGCTCGAATGCATTGTAATCGCCTTTTCTACATGTTTTTTTTTTTTAAAAGATTTATTTTGGGGAATTTTTGCCTTTATTACGATAGGTGAGTGTAGAGCAGACAGGAAGTGAAGTGGGGGAGGGCGAGAGGGTGGGATTGGGAAAGGTCCTTGAGCCGGGATTTGAACTCGGGACGCCCAAAACTCAATGGCATTACATGTCGGCGCACTGCACACTAGGGCAGTATGTAAATGTATTTACAAAATGAAAATATTTTCAAATAAGCAGAAGGAAAAAAAAAAAACTAAATATAGAGAGAATAAAAGCAGCAATAATGAGAAATTTTACAATCGAGGCAATGAAATCATACCCTTATGAAGTTAATCATCACATTAAGCCATCATGATTCTTGTCTTTCCGTCCTCAAGTTTTAGACCTCTTGAAAAAAGTCTTTTCTTGTGCCGTTTAAGGCATTTAAGTCTTTTTATGTCCTTAAATTTGATACAAGTTTATGTGACAATGACAATTAATGTCGATTACGCTTTTGTGTGGGGGAAACGACACGATATATTCATGACATTCTTCACATTGGTTATTTTAGTAGTATGACAAACAAAATGGTCATTCAATTTGGGATTAAAACATACAGAAAACGAGCAACAAACGTTCCCCATCGCTGAAACTGGTGTTCTGTTTCATTCCTCCTGACCGCCAGAGGCGGTGCTAAGCACTAGTGGATAATCGCAGCGCCAGCTAGATAGGTCGAGAAAAAAATACCAACAGAGTCACGTCATGACGTAGACTGAGATGCGAGGATATAAACCACAGCAGCTCGATGCCCAGCCTCTTTCGCTTTCTCGCTTATGATAGGCCGTTGATTAGTGCTGTCCCGTGCAGCTTACCTGAGTTGCGAGGATTCACCCTCCCAAGCTGTGACAGCGCGCCCTGCACTATCATCAGATATTTTGGATTCCCTCTCTTCATTACGTGAGTATACATTATTACATTGTTGTGTCGGCGAGACCCTGTGCTTCAAGGTTCTATCCGGTGGCTGGTTTCGACCGCACTTAGGTAGCGTTTCCACGCTGACCTATTTATCATTGATTTCGTCACCTACTCACCTTCATGCAAGCTCTCCTTTGCCCCGCGGTACTATCCAAAGGCAGTTCTGATAATTCACATGCGATTCCTCTCTCTTAAAAATCTCTTATAAATCTTTCTATCTGAAGATTTTATCAACGCCTGATCTTTCTGCGAGCGTGTTATATCAGTTTTGAGTTCCTACGGTGCTACCGAGGACGTGTTTTGACAGAGTCATGGCTCACAGCTCTCATATCTCCGTCTCTCCACCAAGCTGCAAACTGTGCCTAAACGCACTTCTTCCCGACGATGGACACGATCGCTGCCCGTCGTGTTTGGGGATTCAGCATCTGAAGGAAGAGTTGACTGATCCATGTTTGCATTGTGCCATGCTGCCGCTGTCAAAATGACAGCTTCGTCTTGCAGAGCTAGATCCTAACACGTCTGCTAGCCTCGCACAGCGTCACAGTGTGCTCAAAAACGTCGCCCATCAGCAGCTGCTGGCGCTCCGCAGACCAAAAAGAAATAGTCACCGCAGACAGAAACTTCGCTATCGAAGGCTGTTGCCACTCTCTCTTCAGAGATGGCAGAGTTGAAATGTCTTCTTCAGTCTTTACAACCCCCGGTATCAGCTGCGCCCACCGAGTTCAGTGAACGAGATTGATTTCCAACCCCCAAATACTATCGACTTAGACGTTCCATCTATGAGTGCATCTAATTCACATTTCCTTGATGAAGAGTTGGTGGATCCTGCCATGTGCCTGGCCCCCCACAGGATGCTCTCTCCAGCCTGTCTGCTGCTGGTGGTTCAAGCGGTGGGTCTGTACATTCATCAAGTGCAGGCCAATCTTCTCTTGATGACATTCTTTCGATTCTACAGATGGCAGTGGCTCATTTGGGTCTTGATAACTCTATTCAGCCTGCTCAAACTAATGTGTTCTTCAAGCAAAATGCTGATAATACGTTTACTATGCCTCCATACAAAGACTTTGTGGCTGAATTCTCCAGTGAATTAACAGGCTCCAATGTGCCTAAAAGGAGGTCAAAGACAGCCCCGCACTCTTGCTTCAATGGCTGAGGCTGACTCTATTGGAGTAGGTCGGGCACCTGAAATTGAACAGCCGGTGGCAGCATTGGTGGTATCACCAGATGAAGCGCTTAGAGGCAATGTCCGCTGCCCAAGTGCCCAATGTGGTCGTACTGACACATTATTGAAAAAAGCATGAGTCCGTAGCCTACATAACTCGGGCGGAGAATACTATTTGCCAGCTGCTGCTCGCCTGTAACACCACATTAGGGTCAGTGAATGTTGACTCCTCTGTACCTCAGTTCTTACAGACTGCCCTGTTGACTATAGGTCATGTAAAGCGTGAACTTGGGACACTTTCAGCAACCCTTCTAACAGCCTGACGACAGGTATGACTTGCTCAGGCAAGGTTGCCTGAAGACTGTAAGAAGACATTGAGGGAACTACCAATTGTATCGGGACATCTTTTTGGCCCCAACGTTTCTGAACTATTAGAAAAGAGAATTAAGTTGTCAGAGGCCACACGACAGTTAACTCAGGTCCCGCGGGCTCCTCCTTTTAGGATGCCATTGACGCCAGCTCACCCACGCTACTCGAGTTCAGAGCAGTGGTTGCGTCACCATGGTGGTCCTCAATTTTCTGATGCCGCAGCAACACAGAGTGGCCAAAGATACCCGCCCTTTTCCCCACCACCATCAAGGGGGGGCCACGTCAGCACCCCGCACCCCCCCGCAGTTTCAAAGGGCAGAAACCAGAAACCCTGAGGTTTCTGGACCGGCAGTCGGTCGTTTCACTGCACAGCACCTACATTACTGGGAAACATCAACATCCGACCCCTGGGTTCTGACGACTCTGAACAGGGGATTCACTTTGCAGTTCCAACGCCGGCCTCCAAAGTTTTCAGGGATTCTTCCGACAGTCGTCAAAGATGTAACCAGTTCAATGGCCCTTTCCATGGAAATTTGTTCACTGTTGTTGAAAGGAGCCATAGAAAAAGTTTCCCCTCTCAGACAGAGGGACGGTTTTTACTCAACGTACTTCCTTGTTCCAAAAAAGGATGGCGGTTTCCGGCCAATTCTGGATCTTCGACGCCTCAATATGTTCCTAAAGTGTCTTTGTTTTCAAATGTTACGCACAGTCGACGTTCTTCGATCTGTGATGAAAGGAGAGTGGTTTGTGAGTGTAGACTTGAGGGATGCTTACTTCCATGTTCCCATTGCTCCCCACCACAGCAAGTTCCTAAGATTCCGTTTTCAGGGTCAAGTCTATCAGTTCAGAGTCCTGCCATTCGGGTTTTCACGATGCATGAATGCTGCTCTGTCTCCTCTTTGGTCCAAAGCATTAGGATTCTGCCTTATTTGGACGATTGGCTGCTCTGTGCCCCAACGAAAGTGCACACGCTAAGCGATACCAAGATTATTCTGGATCATATACAGAAGCTAGGTCTTACTGTGAAAGAAACAAAAAGTCATTTGGTTCCGAAGCAGACCATAACCTTCATAGGGATAACGCTCAATTCTGTCACAATGTCTGCCACACTGTCTCACACTCGAACAGTCAGTATTTTTCAGTTGTTGACTTGTTTCCGTCTGGGGGCAAGGATACCTTATGGTGTCCTTTTACAAAGGTGTGTTTGATTAGGGTTGGAGCTAAACTCTGCAGGACACCGGCCCTCCAGGACCGAGTTTGGGCACCCCTGGCTTAGGGCTAGACTCAACGAGACATCGCCATCGCATGATTGTTGTTTCTTCTGCTTGTGTCAGAGCACTGAAACCCTGGAAACGGGTAACATTTCTGAGGGCTGGAGTGCCACTAGGAGTGGTGCCTTCTCATTGGGAAGTGATCACAACTGATGCTTCACTAACAGGATGAGGGGCAACATGGAACCAGAGGGGGATTGGTGGCCGCTGGTCAACAAAGGAGGCCTTATAACATATCAATGTTCTGGAACTGAAGGTGGTGTATCTAGCGCTACAACACTTCTTACCAAATCTGTTAGGCCGCCATGTACTTGACTGATCCGACAACACGTCAACAGTCTTTCATTTGAATCACCAGGTCGGCACCAGGTCTCTTGCGTCTTTACAACTAACTCGCAAGATCCTCAGATGGTCTCAAGGCCGACTGGCTTCATTAAAGGCAGTTTATAATCCAGGATCGGACAATCAAGTGGTGAATGCTCTGTCCAGGGATCTACTGCTTCCGGGCGAATGGAGGCTTCACCCGGATGTGGTGCAACCGATATTGCAACAGTTCGGCAAGGCAGAGGTCGATCTATTTGCCTCTGAGCTAACCACGCATTGCCGTTGGTGGTTTGCGAGGGCAGAGGCATCCAGCCCATTGGGACAGGATGCATTAGCTCATGAGTGGCCGAACTGCCTATTGTATGCGTTCCCTCCTTTTCCACTTCTATGGGAGACCCTACACCGAATATTTCTGTCTAAACACAGGGTGCTTTTAGTGGCACCTCGTTGGCCAGCCAGGCCGTGGTTTCCTCTTCTTCTCAGTCTGTTACAGGGCGAGCCGTGGCAGATTCCCATCAGACAGGACCTCCTTTCTCAGCTGAATGGCCGTGTTTGGCACCCGGATCCAGCTCGTCTTCAGCTTTAGGTTTGGCCAGTGGGTCCACATCTCAGTTAACTGATTGTGAGCCAGCAGTTCTGAACACTATTGGTAACGCTAGGGCTCCTTCAACACGACAGCTTTATGCTGCTCATTGGAGGATTTTTTCATCTTGGTGTGTGGAACAAGGACTTGACCCAGTTCATTGTACTGTGCCAAAAGTATTGAGTTTTTTGCAACATGAAATGAAATGAAATTATATTCCAGTTATAAATGTGCTTCTGATTACAGATAGCCTGGGATTACAAAGATTTGTATTTGAAAGAAAACCAGTTTGAAGGGAGCACAATTTGCTTTTTGGGTTAAAATAATTTCTTAATATGAAATTCGAAGAGTATGACAATTAGATTAGACTGTGCAGAAATTGAAATCTACACACTAATACACACTATACTCATAGTCACCAATGCTGATGTTGTTAACATTAATCATTTGAGAATAAAGTATAACAATAATAATAATTTGAACGGTTTGATGTGATATGTGCTAACCGATCTTTAGATTTAATCACCATTGGTAGCGAGATTTATGGTAATGCTTTTTTCCTCAGTTGGTCAGAACAAACGTGGCAGACTTGTTACTTACTTGTTCAGATGGCAATATATGGTGACAATTCTTATTTGGGTCATATTCCAAGACGTAGGCTAGAATCTGTGATTGCGAATTACAGTAAATATCCACACCGGTGCGGTGACTGACTGCCACACATACTCTTCAGAACATTAGATTCATCCGCGCTGGAGCCGTGCCGACTCACAACCCACGCAAGCTAGATAATTCCGCACACAGCTGCAATTCCAGGTTTTTAAACAGAGATGGCGATAAAGAGAAAAAACTTACGGACTGCAGCTTAATATTCATGACTTTTCCAAGTCTACAGATCAAATTTTTGGGAACGTGGCTGTGGGAATTCTGGTTCTTGAAAATAAACATTGTTGAGGGAACTAATTAAAATAAGAAATATGAGTTCAGCATAAATCTGATATTTTTTTTCACTACATTTTTTAAAATTTTTGGTTATTTAAAAGCATATTTTATGTCACTGTAAACCATCTTGCGGCCCACTGGAACTATGTTGAGGCCCCCTGGTGAAGATCTGATTCCTTATATTATCCTCTAAGAAAAAACAGAGTAAAAACTAGTATTTTATTATCCACTGCACCTCATGGAAATTCTGCTCTGTAATGCCGCTGTCCTCCAGATGTAAGATGCTGTTGAGAGTCTGTACATAAAGCAGGTCCACCTCCTCCAGATCTTCAAGGGTGAGAGGAATACAGCACAGCTGCTTCCACACCATTGGAGCGAGATGCAGGTCTAGAGGCTTCTTAGTGCGGATGGCCACTCCCATCAGAATACCCAAGAATTTGAACTGCAGCAGGTGCTCTTCCAGACAGGCTGAGGGGTTCAGCAAGAACCTGAAGACACACAAAGATCAAGAAAGCCTGATCAGTTTATTAGTTTAGTGAAATACAATATTCAGACAATTGTCTGTCGGTGCTCACCTGTCTCGGTTGTAGCCCACCTCTGCTGCGGCGTTGGGAGAAGGGATGAGAAGATCCACCACTCCTGTCTCCAGCTCCTACACAGAGCGACATGAACCACTTTAACGCTCTTGTCATTTTTTATAAGGCTTGCCATTCAATGAGACCTGAGCCATAATGGGGTTATACACACATCTCCATCAGCATTACCCTACCTGGCACATCTCTGTGATTGTGTCATCAAACACCCCTCCGGCATCATCTGCCCCCTCTCCCACCAGTTTGACTTTCCAGGCTCGTGACGGCAGCCTCAGATCAGATGCATTTAGTTTCACAACCTGCCTGGCGATCTGCACAAATATGGGCTTACACTTCCTTCCTCTGAGAAAACAGGACATTAAAAAGGGGGGAAAATGATTTAAGAAGTTCTTATGTTCTAACTTGAATGAAAAGGAGGCAAAGAATGTCTCCAGTGTTCTGGCTGCAACTCTAAACATGACTGACCGTGTAGAGATTCTTTTGACTGTGATCTGTGGGCCGTAGTTCTTCCCTTGCACCATGGTTTTCCCGATAGCGCGCACCATGGGCAGTGTGTAAACTCTAGGGGCCAGCAAGGGCCTCAGCTGACCTTGGACTATACCCCATGTACCTGCATTATAGCGTGACGTGCAGCTCTGAAACACAAATGATTCATGATTGAATCAGACAGTGTTTTTTTCCCCTAACAAACTCAGAGTAGAGAGACAAAATGATGCAAACATGACATGTTGGTATACCTGGTTGTTGGGGCTGAGGTTCAGCAGTCTCCAGGAGGAGTACATGAGGTCAGAGAAGTGGTAGAGCAGGCGCAGTCGGGCTCTCAGAGCCTCCATACTGACCTCTCTTAGGGCACTGTACTGAGGAGGCACACACACGGGCAAGCCCAGCTGCAGAGGCACTGATGAACCTGAACACAAACACTCCATCTCAACAACTCATCACAGCTACATGCTTTTTTTAAGTCTAATTTGATTATTTTCAGAAATAAAACATTTTATTGTGCCCCCCATTTAGAGATTTTTAAGTCAATATACAAATAACAGGTCTGTCAAATTCATGTAAAAGTAACAAAACGTCACATAGGAAGAGATTTTGACAAATTTGTAATGAGGGCATCAAAAAACTACACACCAAAATGTAAAGGTTTTTATTTATGTAAAATCAGGGTATCTGCAGGATTTTTTAAATCAAATTTAAGATTTTTTAAGACCTACACAAATAAAATTAATACCATATGAGCGGGGTAGGGCAATGTCTTTGGTAACATATTAAACTGTAAAATGACTGTAAAAAGGCAGTTCAGATACAGGTTTTCACAAAAGTTTTATAAAATGATAAACTTCACATTTCAGCCTCTAAACCATTTATTTAAGAAAAGGGATTGAAAAGTAACAATTATTGTATTAATTTAAACAATTATTACCAATCAATTATTATATTAATTTAATAACAAATATATCTTAATTGTTTAGATTTTTATAATGAATTAGCATTAGCTTCTTGTCAATCCACAGGTTCACATTTACAACACTGTGTCTGCGTGTAAAATATGGGTGGATTTACTCTTTGGTCTGAACAAAAACAGCAGATGGGCTGATTGAAAATGCTGATTCATTCTCTGCCAGCAGGTGGCGCTTTTGAAACGGCAGAAATTTTGCGGTTTCCCCAGTAATGGCAGTACATAAAGCAGAAGCAGCACCATACTTAGAAACATGCAGCGCTCATCTTTATTCAATGAAATTACAGCCTTTTTAAGCCTTGATTTTGCATAAATGAAAACCTTTAAATTTTAGTGTGTAGTTTGTTTTGATGCCCTTATTACAGATTTGTAGAAATCTCTTATATAACAGAACTAAGAATAATACTGGATAATAATTATATTCTTTCAATAATATTAAATTACTATAGTAATAGAACAGCCAACTTGAAAGCAATAAAAAAAATCTATATCTAATATACAATAATACTGAATAATAATTATACTCTAAAAAACAATAAAAATAAATAATAATAATAATAAATGTGAGAGAGTTGCAAAAATAAGCCAGTGTGTATGTGTCTGTACCTGGAGCACGTGGCGGCACAGGCAGTGCAGACCATGCTGCGCTGTGGCAGCGACCTGCAGATATCTGCTGGATGTTTTTGCCTTGTAAAGCACTGATGAAGGTTGGCTCTCTGACATGGTTTGTGTGGCCCAAGCCCAGCTAATAAAAAATACAACAACACAAACTGATAAATGTCCATGCTATTATTTAGATAATACATAAAACCAATGGAAAATAGGAAACATAATTAGCCTATTAACCCCCCTAACAATCACACACCTGTCCCTCTGAGTTGCTCCCCCAGACATAAACATCTCCAGTTGATGAGAGAGCAAGCGTGTGTTCGGCCCCTACAGCCACATCCTCGATAAACACGGCCATTAAAGCAGGGACCTGCTGAGGCCGGTTATGATTTCGTGCTCGACCCTCCGGCAGACCGATTAAGCGATCTGTCACATTAAAGCAAAAACAATTAAACAAAACCACTGGACTTGCTTTAACATTCAGCAAACAGTTTATAGAAGTATCTCCCTGAGACGAGTACATCTGCAGATGGCTTACCCTGCCCAAACGTGTACATGTTTCCATCTTTGGTTAGAGCAACAGAGAACTGGGTACCACATGCCACCTTCTTTATTCCAATTCCACACAAAACATCCACTTTCTATAAAATAACAAACCCACAGACTTAATTTAGTGAAGACAGAGTTTTGTTTATGACATGTAATGTTACCTGCTTGTGATGGTGTTGTCACATTAACGTATCAGTAGTTGTACCTGTGGGGAGGATTTGGCTGTAGCGTTTCCCAGTCCCAGTTTGCCATAGTCTCCATCTCCAAACGCCCAGACGGTCATTCCATCAGCTGATACTGCCAAAGTGTGATTCAGCCCACATGCAACCTACACACAACCATATCACAATAAACATCAGATAAAATTGTGTGTATGTGCAGAGGCTGTTCAAATGTCCACACTGAGAATCTGAGATTTAAAGTCCAATTTAAACATGGAAATATACAACATTTATATGAGCAAAAGGGGATAAAAGAAATGCCTTAATGTAAAGATATTCATTCATTCATTTTTAATACATGTAATATAATAATGTCAAATATATAATATAAAATATAAGGTTACACTTTAAGGTGTCCTTGTTACAGTGCAATTATACATAGGTATTAAGTAACATTAATTAACTAAGTACATGTAAGCAAGTATATGTAACGTGTAACAAGGACACCGTAAAATAAAGTGTTACCAAATATAATAATATACAAAATATATATAATTTCCATAATTATAAGAGGACTTCAAATTAGAGTTTCTTACCTGGCCAACCTGGTGGCCCTCTAGTGCACTGACTCTCTCAGGTAATTTTTTGTTAGAGGTGTTTCCAAGTCCCAGTCTGCCATAATCTCCATTACCAAAGGAGAAGAGCTTTCCGTCTGCAGTCACCACCGCTGAGTGTTTAAATCCACATGACATCTGGGCACAAACATATATTCTGATGAACTTAAACTTCATCATACACACCTTAGAAGAAGAGGAGAACTGGAGAGGCATCTGGGTGCGTTTAGGAGTGAGGGTGAATTTGACAAGTGTTTCTGACCTGCACCACTTCTTCTCCCTGCAGCGCCTCTATCTGCCGCGGCCTGCGCTGTCTGTCACTGTTACCGTGGCCCAGTTTTCCGTAATCTCCATCTCCCCAGCTGAACACCTCACCGCTCTCAGTTAGAGCCATCGAATGGCCATCAGACCCACAGGACGTTACTAGCTGGGTCACCACAAAGCCTTCACAAACACACATCACTCTTGCTGTTAACACATTCAGGGAACAACTACATTGAAAGTCATTCAGAGTTTGTGTGTGATTGCAGCATGCCTTGCAGAGCAGATATAACAGTGAGGATGTGCAGATCATCTGAATTTCCTTGTCCGAGGCGGCCGTAACTGCCCTCTCCACATGCAGACACTGTTCCGTTAGCCTGGATCACAAATGTGCAGTTCTGCCCACAAACAACCTGACAATAAAAAAATTAACTAATTAATAAAACTAATTTCTATTTATTTAATTTCTACGACAGCATGTTATTTAAAAAAAATAAATAAATCAAACCTAAAGCAACTGAAGGTGAACTATCCCTTTAATGAAATTTATGTGTGTGTTTGTGAACACTCATACCTGTTGGGCCTGAGAAAAAGAGGGAGCAAGAGATGGCACCAGAATGTTTCGCCCGGCCTCGGCGAGCTGCCCATGCCTGCCAGCGCCCCATAAAAACACATCACACTTCCCTCCAAGGTGCCAGTCCTTAAAAACGCAAAATGAAAAACCTTTGAATATCCCTTTTGAATTTCACACAATTATATATTATAAAATATTTTCCAATAAATATATTTGTGTGTGTTTTCTAGTGCTTGTATTTGCTCTCACCTCTGGTCTGGAAGTGGCCCATGACATGATCTGCTCATCCATCCCAGACACCCACTTGCTGTTGTCCTGTGTGTGATTTTTAAAAAGGCCATCACCATTAAGAGCAGCACAGTTTTTCACCATCAAATCAGCAGGACATTTGAATGTTCTTTCTCTCACCATAAGCAGTGCCAGTTTATCTTTGGCCACAGGCTCCAGGTCCGGGACGATGAAGGACTCGGGGAAGGTGTGTCTGCGTGCGAGGGCTTCAGCTGTTTTGACGGTGGTGGAGAAGCAGTGAAGCCACGCCCACTCACTGTTGGCCCAGGATCCAGATGAGGGGGTGGAGGAAGAGCCAGGCTCAGGTGGGCAGTGGGCCAGGTGAGGTGGGACAGGAGGGTGACACAGCAGAGCATCCAGCTGCAGACCCACCGCCAGAGACGCCAGACACTGCATGTAAGGACTGTGGACGAGCTGCTCTCCACACACCACATGAGGCTGAAACACACAAACAAAACAGGTATAATCAACAGGATGTCCCTTTTTCTTGCATTTTTACATGCACAGTATTTGCTAAAATGATATAATAATTTAGTAGTTGTATGTACCTTCTCATACGCATACTGCTCCTGAAGCATGATGGGAAGTCTCTCCAAGAAGGCTCTCATGCATGGAGCCATGTTCAGTCCAACAACGCCCTGCTTTTTTAGCGCCGTGCGGCAAGTTGCTAACACGTGATTGTTTGCCATGGACTCTGCTGAGCTATTAACAACCAGCACATCCTGCAGAACAAATAATTTTCTTTATTAAGTAACATCTTTTCTGCATATTGTCAACAGCAATGGGCACCAATCGAAATATATATACTTAAAGAAAATAACTTTAATGTATGTTAATACATCCAGCAAAAAAACAGAATATAGTGTAACTGCTCCTTAAATTTTGTTTTTAATTTAATTTTAAGAAGGAATTTTTTCCTTCTACGGTCTTTCCTTTAATGTTTGGATCTGATGCTAATGTCAGTACTTCATGTTAGGCACAGTCATGTTTTTTTTAAATTAAATTTGACTAATCTATATTATTTATATTTAAAGTCCCCATGAAATCAAAATTAAAGTTTTATGTGGTGTTAGTAATCAGTATGTTAGTCTTAAAGTGGAAATGAAGCAGTCAGTCAAGTTTACATTATTTAGTAAAGTGATTTCCACTTTGATTAAAAAATATATAACAAACATGATTAATGTAACCATTTTAAAGAGAAAAGGTTGTTTTGTTATAGCTTTTAGAGCAAGGGCGCCGCCATCTTGCAGTACCACCGCGTGTGACGTCACGGGGTTGGTTCGCTCCGATGGCCAGTGAAGTAATAGAAGCATTTCTTTACATTTTGAACACACGCTTGTTTTGAAATGGAGGAAGATTACATTGAAAGCACTGTTAAGTCCATAATAAGTGCAATTGCCTATGCATTTGAGCCGATACGGCGATGGGACCGAGCAGTATTAGGGGTTGAAGACTGGCATTATGAAAACAATGTTTGGGATACCACGATCAAAACTTAGCATATAGACAGTTTGATGTTGAATATTCATCCAAATTATGGTGAAAACCAAATTATTTGTGTGTTAAAATAACATTCGTGTGATCAAAATGTAAAGAAATGCTTCTATTACTTCACTGGCCATCGGAGCGAACCAACCCCGTGACGTCACACGCGGTGGTACTGCAAGATGGCGGCGCCCTTGCTCTAAAAGCTATAACAAAACATCCTTTTTTCTTTAAAATGGTTACATTAATCATGTTTGTTATATATTTTTTAATCGAAGTGGAAATCACTTTACTAAATAATGTTAACTTAACTGACTGGCTTCACTTCCACTTTAAGGTTATCTATAAGGCAGTGTGCTCCAGCCTCCAAAACAGTGACAAAATTTGCATTTAGAAGATGTAAGCATTCAAAGCTTTTAGTTCATCACTTCCGCCAAAACGGCTCAACGATTTTTTTGACGTCACATCGTACTTCATCTTCTCATCACATCTTCTGACCAATTAAACGCTCTCTAGAAGCCGAGGCCCTACACTATAAATAGACGCTGAAGCTGCCGCTGAGATCGGTCGCTTGTTCATATTGTAGTATTTCCTGTACAGTGAATGACACGTAGTGTACAATGTAGGCGATAGGGAACGATTCAGATTAGAGTAAATACAGTGTAAATATGCTTTTGATTGGGGCAAATGAGGTCTGGTTTCACGTTGTGTCACGCGAACCGTGGCAGTGCGCACTGTCTGATCTGGACTTTGGCTCCCGTCCAGAGACACGATCGCACGGAGGTGATCATTCGCAAGTCGAAATTACGTCACCACATAGAATAATGCTGCGGATTTTTTTGAGTTCACATCGTACTTCATCTTCTCATCACATCTTCTGACCAATTAAACGCTCTCTAGAAGCCGAGGCCCTACACTATAAATAGACGCTGAAGCTGCCGCTGAGATCGGTCGCTTGTTCATATTGTAGTATTTCCTGTACAGTGAATGACACGTAGTGTACAATGTAGGCGATAGGGAACGATTCAGATTAGAGTAAATACAGTGTAAATATGCTTTTGATTGGGGCAAATGAGGTCTGGTTTCACGTTGTGTCACGCGAACCGTGGCAGTGCGCACTGTCTGATCTGGACTTTGGCTCCCGTCCAGAGACACGATCGCACGGAGGTGATCATTCGCAAATCGAAATTACGTCACCACATAGAATAATGCTGCGTGTTTCAAAGCACTTCAGGGGCTCCCGTCCAGAGACACGATCGCACGGAGGTGATCATTCGCAAGTCGAAATTACGTCACCACATAGAATAATGCTGCGTGTTTCAAAGCACTTCAGGGGACCTTTAATTATGATATACAAGTGTTTTGCAACCATAAGTGCTTTGTTTATTAAAAACAGGTTGAATAAAAACGGAGTTAAAAAAACCCCATCTTTTCTAGATATTAAGAAACAAAAAACTCATCAAAATGAATGAAAATCAACTAGAATTTAAACATTCGGGATTATTTTACCTTTGAGCGATTGGAGCAAACAGCTACACCTACGTCAGGGATCCAAACTGTGCTGTGAATCGCTCCGGATCCAGCAACTACCGTCTGCAGCACTGATCCATCCTACACGTATAAACATACAGACAAGCGTATCATCATGAAAACACTATAGTGAATCCTTTGAAGTTTGTTTGTTAGGATTGTAAGTTAGCCTGTATGCACTTATGAAGTGTGCGTCCATGGTAGACACTGACCCGCAATGACCAGATGTTCAAAAGTCCGCCAACCCCTCCAGACACAAGAGCAAGCCCATCTGGACTGAACGCTACTGTCCGCACAGGAGTCAAATGACCCTGCAGCTGGAACACACACACTGCTCCTTCACACCGCTGGGGCTCCAGCTGGACAGAGATAACACACATAAACACAAATACTAACTGATACGGAAGCACAGATAGCAAAGCATTCAAAGATTTTAATTGCTCATAAGTAAGGACACATTACCATCAGTTTGGATTTGGATTCTGATTCCCACCAGGCATCAGGGCAGGCAGAGCTGGACTGTGAGTATGATGAGGGGTCCTGCGGTACAGTCCACACAGATACCAGACCGCTCTGACAACATCTGTGAGACAAAGATTTTTAGTGCACATCCCTCAATGGTTTTTATGATCATATCAATTTAGGTTAAGGACATACTTCACAGTGCAGAGTTTTTCATGAAAAAAGTTTATTATTTATAAATAATTAATTGCTATTATTCTGAGAAAATATATTGTTTATATACCAGCAGACAGTAATATATATTGCAGAATGTAAATTTACTAACATTATTTGAACTACTGTTCAAATGTTTGGGGTCAGTAAGATTTTTTTTTTTTTAAGAAATGAAAACTTTTATTCAGCAAAGATACATTGAACTGAAATGATTTACATTGTTACAAAACATACCTATTTCAAATAAATATTATTCTTTTGAACTTATTATACATTAAATAATCCAGAAACTAAGTAGCAGGGTTTCCAAATATTAAGCAGCACAACTGTTTTTTTTTTAACAATGACAGTAAGAAAATGTTTGTTGAGCACCAAATCAACATATTAGAGCAGGGGTTTTCAACCTTTTAGGACATGCGCCCCCCCAAATTGGTCTAATTTCAATCGCGCCCCCCCAACATCCAACATCCAAATCCGTGGTTGGATTTCCGACACGGCTAATCGTAAATCATCTTACGCTGTCAATAAACTTGACCAGGGTTGCCAGGTTTTCACAACAAAACCCGCCTAATTGCTACTCAAAACTACAAAACGAGGCAAGCGGGAAAACCGCGGTCTTGGCAACACTGAGAGTGACTGATACTCGAGCCAACTCTGCTCTAACTGTCGACTAGCAGTGGGAGTCAGATTGCCCCCTAGTTGACGGCTAAAGATTTGTTAACTCATATTCATAAATTCTCAAGGGAACGTCTCTGAATTAACTGATGCTGGCGCCCCCCTTAGAGTGATGTGGCACTGAAGACTGGAATAACGGCCGCTGATAATTCAGCTTTGCCATGACAGGAATAAATTGCATTTTAAAATATATTAAAATAGAAAACGGTTATTTTAAATGATAATAAAATTTCACTACATTATTGTTTTTACAGTATCTCTGATCAAATAAATGCAGCCTTGGTAAGCATAAGAAACTTCTTTCAAAAAGGTGACCCCAGAATTTGGATGCTAGTGTATTTCTGCTGGTTTATCATTTTCCCTAGTTAAATAAAGCACAACTGGAATCAGTTCTCTCATGCATTAGAGTACTCTCAGTCTGGACATACGTGGCAAACATGTTGAGAGGTTTAGGTCCCTGACCGGCCAGGCTGCACCAGACAACAGCATTAACAACAGCAGGATGGGTGATGCTTTGCAGACATGTCCAGCTTTGACCCAAACCTGTCCCCGACCCCGCCCATAAACGCACAATCTCCTCTTTAGCACAGCTTAGCAACACTTGCCCACCAGGAGCCCAGCGCAATGAACTGATGCTTTCCTATAGTCACAACACACAAATAGAGAACAAAGATTTGACTGTCAGTGAACCGATGAAGGCATGTTAAATTACTTCTTAACACATTAAATATTACATACAAGAATGCGTGAAAGTACAGCATCTGTATGCTTATGTATGTGTGTGTCAGTTTATGATGAATCATGATGACTCTAACCTTGTGGGCATCAATAACCACCACAGATCCATTCTCTGAAGGCTCCTTAGAGCCAATCAGAAGCCTCCCATCAGCATATCCAACTGCAAAGGGACGATCCTCACTGTACCATGCGATCTGCATCACAGCCACTGCAGAGAAGAGCAACAAACATGGATACACACACATGGAAAAGTTTCCAAAAGTAATCTTGTTTACAGTTTCATAAAAACTGTCAGTACCGTCTTTCCTGAAGCAGTGTTGGAGTTCAGTTCTCTGCATATCAGAATCATCAAGGACCTCGAGAAGTCCCAGTGTCCCATCCATGCGACCCACCAACAGGAGTTCTCGAGGCTCCCCGCCCCACAGTGACCCTGCCTCCTCTTCTGACCAAGCTAAAGATGACACCCAATGAGGCTGCAGGTCCAGTAAGGCCTTCCCACCTTGTGTGCAAAAACGCAACATGCACCAATATTAAAACTCAATATTTATAAGCCAATAATTATTTTCATGTCATGACCGAAAAAAGACTGGCATTAAAATGTGTATAATTTATTTCATTGTCTAAATAAATTAAAAACACTGAGAACTACTATCAGTTGTTTCAACTGCTACAAATGAATTTAGGAATTACAACATTATAATGCAGCTGGAACACACTTTTTTTTTAGCCGTTTTTAAAGAAGTGTGCATTAGATGAAGCAAAGGTAATCTAAATGTAAAAAAACAAACAAATGAGCAGCACAATTAAATATCCAATATCAACCAATACTGATAAATAAATAATAATAATAAAAACTCTTCTAATCTAATCTTGGCTGACATCAACACACATTACTGTTCAAAAGTAGTGCAAGTTTTTTTTTTTTTTTTAAAGAAACTAATATTTTTATTAGACAATAGTGGCATTTTTTAGCTCAATTTACTTCTCATTTCTCATTTGATAGTGTCAGTGCCATCAAATCGATATTTGATCGATATACTTTCAATATGTCTGAACGTGTTCTTTCAAACTTTCCATTCATCAAAGAATCTTGAAACATTCATAATAATGTTTCTTGAGCACCGATTCAACATATTAGAAGGATTTCTGAAGGATTGTGTGACAATTAAGACTAATGTAATGTAGAGTAATGTCTGCCAAACTTTTGAACGGTAGTGTATATCGTGATGGTGAGCGACTCACCATTGACTTGCCAAATGTTCACTATTTTGTCCATGGCAGCAGCCAAGTACTTCCCACTGACACTCCAAGCCACTGGAGCCAAGTCTGGATCGCCTGGAGACCCCAGATTACCCATGCACTCGTCCGAAGTGTCATCTCTGAAAACAAACATCATCATAAACATCACATTTCAGTGGGTGAAGAAAAAAGCCTAATTAGGAGAAAGAGAGGAACTCACCCTTTATTAAAGACACATGTCTTTTCCGAGAACCACTTTGTTTTAAAGGTAATGTCCTTTGTACTATGTTGATATTGCATAACATTAATGTTGATGTTAAGTTTTATTATTGTAACATGTTAAACTGTGGGAGGGGGAGAAAAAAAAAAAAAAAAAAAAAGATGTAGCGCTTTTTGTAGTCTCTCTATTTACAAGCTTTTCATCTGGATACCTGAGTGCACAGCTGGACCAGGAGTTTGGCAGCGCTGGGGCTGTTCGATGCCAGACAGCCAACTGCGGTACTGAGGTACGCCAAACAAGAAATAGGTTTGGTTGGCTTGCTAGCCCCTCGCGGGCGCTCAGTGGATCCAGGGCCTAATGTAAGGCCTGTGGAAAGTCCAGCTCTACCTGCTGCAGCCAAACACATCAGACGCACCAGAGTCCTAATGTCTGTCAAGCCCAGAGACTCCAATCCTGCTGCTAGACTGCAACTAGAGCCACTGAAGAGCAGAAATATGAGTTAGCAAAAACACGTATGATAATTGTATAAAATATTAATTGAAATAAAACTTAAAAAAGCCTAAAAATATGGCTTAGTAAAAAGCGCTACTAAATATATTACAGTGCTAAATTTACACTTTTTATTTGGTAATGCTACTCAATAAGGATATTATAATAATTATTATTAAAATCGCATACATAAATAGCCACATCACTAAACACACTGACCTAACAGACAGGAGGGACAGCGCTCTCATGACCATTGTTCTGGCTAACAGGACTTGTGCAGCTGCAGTGACTCTTTTCAGAGCCACCAGGCAATCAGCAGACGTCTGCAGACCTGCCGCCTGCTCCCCCAAAGATAAGCGACCTGATGAGCTCTTATCCACTGAGCTCTGGCAACCTATAGACGGAGTTACATGGAGATACACATTCATATACAAATCTTAAACAACAATATCTGTAAAATTACAAGCATTTAAAGCCATGATGCATTCTCTGAACCACTACAGTGGCAGGGTCACACAATCACATTGGTGTTGTTATTGTACCTATCTGCAAGAGTGTCTCCTCCATACTGTTGGTGGCAGTGACCATGGCAACAGAGGCTCCAAGAGGGTCGGTGTCTGGAAAATGGACAGCCTCGGGGACGGGTCTGCGTTCACTGAGACCCATCGGAGCAGAGAGCAACTCAAACTCCTCCTCACCCGTCAGGCGCTCTGCATCATCTACATCTAACATGTCCCAGTCTTCTGCAGGGCAAACCGTGTGTTCAGACACATTGACCAAAACACAGTCTGCAGTGGTTGTTAATAATCCTAGCTTTACATGCCTTTTTGGTGTTTTTATTACTTGCTGCATTATGTTTTTGGTTAATATGTATGTTTTGTATGTGGACACTTTTAATACCTTCATACACGCTGTCTTGCTTTCCCAACAGGTCTGGTGCTTGACCTTTATACCTGAAAAACAGAGATCAGTGGAAAAACGTCAGATTCATGTGAATTCGTCTATGTCAACACATACATGCAACCTCTCATTCTCACTAGGGTTGTGCCGATAGACGATAGTATTGTGTATAGACAACAGTCTGAGATATCGCCTTTGACGATAGCAAGACGATTATTATTATTATTAATAGTATTACTAGCCTGATAATAAAAATAATATTAAATCAATATTGGGGCTTATTTGTTCCATCATATTTCTTTTTACGTGTTTTACAGTGTTAACCAATCACACACGATTCCGTTGAGTTTATGAATGCATTGGCCAATCAGAGGCATTCAGATGAGTCATCGCTGAAACAGCGGAGTTTTGTTGTTGAGTGCGCACGCTTGCTGACTGAATTCTGCTCTCTCGCATATTCCCTCATCATAAACAACAAAGTGCAGATGTACGTGTGATGCAAGTATAAGAGATTTATTCATATATTCAGTGATGATGTTCTTTGATAATGTACATGTTCTTTGCTCGTTTTCTGTAGATGCTGTTTGAATAACTGAGGAAATGTAAGCATTATAATTAGTAATGTATAATGCTTCTATTAAATTATCATGTTAAATACAAATTCAGTCATATTAAAACTAATTTGTGACATGACATCCATATGCTACTTGACTAAAAAGATATAATGTGTAGTTAATAGATTACACTAACATTAGGCTGCTTTTAGCCATAGTTGGTTCACTCTCCGGCTAATAACTAAATTAAATTAGCACGATAGTATCGTGTGTCGGCGATCTATCAGGCTGACGATAGGGCGATATGACTATGGAGCATATCGCCCGACACTAATTCTCACCTCTCAGGCAGTGGTCCTTTGATCTTGCTCTTCATGTTAAGGTATTTCTCTCTGCAGCTGCCACAGAGCAAATAATAGGGATTTCCACTTCCACACTCCCCTCCAAACCAGCCGTCAACATACGAGCCATTGCTGCGGTAACCCTGGCGATTGGCACTGCGACCACAGCCCGGGTGACTCTTCTTCATGTGCTGGTTGAAGCTGGACACGCTGACCCCACACAGCTCACACACCACCACCTCATCACGGTCCTCCGTCTCACACACATGCTAACACACAAGCAAATGAGACAAAACCAGACAACTGCGGTCAGTTTGGAGAGTATGTCGTACATGTATGAAGATTTGAAAGCCAGTGGAACATGGATCAGGGCTGAAGCATCCCAGTATGCATCTGCTGCTTCCATACTGTGCTGGCAAAACATGCACCGGTGTTAGTGAGAGTGAGAGAGCCAATATGTGTCCAATATGAGGATGTGAGTGAGCAAACTTTAGGTAAGAACAATATGTGTGTCACTGAACAAATGTGTAGGTGTGTGTTTGTGTGTACAGCCTTGCAGGGGTTAAAGGTGAGTAGTAAAGCAGCGGCAGCCCCAGGCTGCTGTCACACACACCCATGTTGGCCAGTCCAGTACCTCCGGGATCCACATTCCCAGAATGTCGGAATCTGATGCAAGCTCCTGGGTGAACATGGCCTCCATGGCTTCCTGATCCAATTCGAGCTCCAACTCTTCATCCAGATTGAAGTCATACAGCGCCCCGAGCGGCCCAGGCTCCTGCTGCAGTCCAGAACCTTCTCGACGTGCTTGAGTTCGATGTGCCTGCACTGAGCGGTACAGTCCAGCTACACAAAAAAACACAACGTTACTGTGGAGTATTTACTGTTTTGATGATTCTTAAAATTGAATGTCGTAAAACTTTTTTTCCTCATTATAAAAAAAATATATAAATAACAAAATATAAATAACTTACCTCGAGTAAGCAAGGTTTGGGGTTAATCAACCGAAAGTTCAGGGTTTAGCTGATGGTAAGTTAACCTTACTTTACTAACTAACATATCAGTAAGATTTTTTTTATGATTTTGTCAGTAAGATTTTTTTTTAATGATTTTGAAGTCTCACCAAGACTGCATAAAAGAAAAAACTGTAATATTGTGAAACATTATTACAATTTAAAATAAGTGTTTTTTTATTTTAATATATTTTTAAATTAAATTAATTTCTATTGACAACAAAGAATTTCCAGCAGCCATTACTCCAGTCTTTAGTGTCACGTTACCCTTCAGAAATCATTCAAAAATGCATATATTTAATGCTCAAGAAACATTTCTTATTATTATCAATGTTGAAAACAGTTGTGCTGCTTAACTGCTTTATCTATTTATCAAATAATCATGGAAAAATGTACAGATGTCTGCTCAGGGTCAGCCTCATTATACAGGACTTCCATAAAAGCGATTAATTGACTAGTTGTTCAGATAACCCACTGACTAGTTGATTTAGAAAACATGTAACTTTGGAGATCCCTATACCTGCACGAGCTAATAATGTGCGTGCAGCCAGGTCAAAGCGGTGTTTCCTGCTGGCTGCAGAGCGTCCTCTGGGAGTGGGGCCGGCAGAGGAAGAGCCCAAATCTTGATCAAGACCTTCAGGACTAGAATGAGAAAGAAGTAACAGAATGATAAATGGGTGACAAAAATTAAGCTACACACTGTTTAATTACACTCATGCAACAATACAATATGGCATGCCATATATTCATACCTCTCACTGAATCCCTCCTCCATCTCTGCAGCATCAGCATTGGGGATGTCACCCGGTGAGCGCAGATAGCTCCTCTCTGTGCTCTTACCCCCTCCTGCCGCACCGGAGCAGGGGTCTGAAGCCTCATCAGAGTCTGCCGTGCCTGGGTGGTCGATCATCCACATCGCAAGCACAGTGATGTTCTGAGCATCTGCCTCACCACGTGCACCTACAGACCAGCACAGAACATAATCTGAATATCTGATATGATAACATGAGAAAAAAGTAGAAATTCTGAATTTAGACATGACATTTCTATGTGTATTTGTGTCTACCTGTTGCTTCCAAAGCTTTCATGATCTGTCTGAGTGAGAAACCCATTTCCAACAGTGGAACTGCGATGGCAGGAGGAGGTGGAGATGTGGAAAGACGACTGCTAGGGTCTGATAATGCTTGGAGCGAATAAACAAACAAAATCAGCTGTTTAATACGGGACTATGTGTATATGGATATACAGTCATGTACAAAGATCTGAAAGACAGCCTTTCTAATTAAATAATTTTTTCCCGTTACAAATTATATCATCATCATAATACTTTGAGTAAAAAGTTTAATTGAAACATCTTTTGTTATTATTTTATTTGACTTTTTCATTTTACTTTATTTCCATGTACTATTTATCATTGAGTACTGTACTTGTACATTTAACAATTTTTACTGATGTGACAAATGTACAATGCAGAGGAGGGTTGGGGAGGGCCCAATGGTATTTTCATTGTGTATTTATTTATTTTATTTTATTTTTTCCATTCTTGTTAATTGTTATGATGAAAAAATGTATACTTCTGGCATATTTACATATTTCACACTTGTATGTATACTCCCAATATATTTATTCTAGAGAAGCATATATATATATATATATATATATATATATAAATAATGTTAAAAAAAATACATTTTATAATATTTCTTATGTGTTCTCAGACTTCTGGACCACATTTAATTCATTTAAAGGGGACCTATTATGCAAAATTCACTTTTATAAGGTGTTTGAACACAGTTGTGTGGCCGCAGTGTGTGAAAACAACCAGCCTATAGTGGTACAAATCCACCCACCCATTTTTTTTAATAATCCCAATAAATTATAAACAGTCTCTCCAAACGAGCGGTTTCAGATTCTCCCTCTTTACACGTCACTGAAGGAGAGAAAATCCCGCCCATTTGTGACGCTCTCTGCCCTAATAACATAGACACAGTCCTGAATGAGAAGCAGCAGTCTGCCATTAGTGTTTTCTTGCTGTAAGGTTAGCTGCTGGAGATATACAATGTCAGCGCTAAAGAGGCATTACAAATGTTGTGTTTTGGGATGCACCAATGGACACAGGAGTCTCCATAGACTCCCTCCATCTGAGCTGCTTAGAACACTGTGGTTAAATTTCATTTTCGAAGGAAATTTCCCCCCAAAAATCGGCAAAGTCCCCTATATGTTTAAGGATCAATACCAACGCTTCATGCACGAACGTCAGCTCCAGACAAAGTAAGTATCACACGTTTGTTCTTTGCCTTTTTTTTTGACAATTCTTCTCCCCCGAGTTACATATTCTGCCATTTTAGAGTATCACGACATACGCACGCTTTCCCCCAAGTGTAAACAACGCTGATTAAGCAGATTACGTTCATGCGCGCGCTTTCTCCTCCGAATGTAAACAACGCTGATTACGTGGATTACGCTCTTGGGTACTCTCCAAAATGGCGGAAGACGTAACTCGGGGGAGAAGAATTGTTGAATAAATTGTTATTTTTGTTTTCTTTGCGCTCAAAAAGTATTCACATAGCTTCGCAAAACTGAAGTTGAGCCACTGATGTCACATGGACTGTTTTACTGATGTCCTTACTACGTTTCTGGACCTGGGAACATTACAGTTGCGTTGCTGTCTATGCAGCATCTGAGAGCTCTTAGATTTCATCAAAAATATCTTAATTTGTGTTCCGAAGATGAACGAAGGTCTTACGGGTTTGGAACAACATGAGGGTGAGTAATTAATGACAGAATTTTCATTTTGGGGTGAACTAACCCTTTAACAAACTATAAAAATTATCTGTGGGGTATTTTGAGCTTCACATACACACTCTGGGGACATCAGAGACTTATTTTACAATTTGTAAAAAGGGGCATAATGGGTCCCCTTTAAGAAACAAACATGTGTATTTGTACCTGTCCTGCTGGTTCTGGCAGGCTGGGACTCAGGTGACGTGAGGCTCTGTCTCCGGCCGTGCTCGTCTGATGGTGAGGTGGGCAGCGATGAGACGGGAGGGGTCTGAGCTCTACGTGCTGGCAGAAGGGTGGTTGTTGGGTAGCTGGAGAACATCTGCCTGCTCAGACATGCACTTGCACATTAATCATGACACACAGATTGAAAGATTCAGTGTTCACACACTCTCAAAGAGACAAAGTGTGTGTGTACCTGAGCAGGCTGAGGGGCATTACTCCAGGTGATTCAGAAGCTGGTGCCGTCTCTGCGTCTGTAACAGGTGTGGTGGCTGTGGTAACAGGTGTGGTTGCTGTGGTGGTGTCCTCCAGCGAGGAGCTCATGAAGGAGGTGCTGCTGGACGCTGATGGGGAGGTGGTGACCGGAGTTTGAAACCGTTGGTCTCCCTCTAACTCCTCACATTCTGTGTCCACTAAAAACAAACACATTCACATATTTTATGAAGAGAACTATGCGTCTTGTGAATGAGATGGTAAAAAAAAAAAAAAAAAAAAAAATCATAGCTTGCAAAAAAGTCCAATCATTTAAAAAAAAAGAGTTTAAATAAATTAAGTGGTGGTGTCCTCCAGCGAGGAGCTCATGAAGGAGGTGCTGCTGGACGCTGATGGGGAGGTGGTGACCGGAGTTTGAAACCGTTGGTCTCCCTCTAACTCCTCACATTCTGTGTCCACTAAAAACAAACACATTCACATATTTTATGAAGAGAACTATGCGTCTTGTGAATGAGATGGTAAAAAAAAATAAAAAAAAAAAAATCATAGCTTGCAAAAAAGTCCAATCATTTAAAAAAAAAGAGTTTAAATAAATTAAATAAAATGTTTTTATTTAATTGAATGTTTTCATAAATAAAATGTTAAAACAGAGATCCACTGAGGTGAATTTCTTTTAGGAATATTCAATCGTTCTGGCAAGGTGATTTTTTTTTTATTTCACTGGCGTCATATATAATATTAAAATATCAAGCAATATTTGTAAAGGATAGCAGCAATTACACTGTACAGTCAAGATTTTATAAACTACCAGTTTATAAAACTACCGTTTTTTTAAAGAAATTAATTCAGAAAGGTTGCATTAAAATCAGTGTCAAAAAAACAAAAGATTTCTATTTCAAATAAATGGTGTTTTTTGTTTGTTTTGTTTTTTCTTCTTTCTTTTTTTACTTTCAAATCATATTAGAATGATTTCTGAAGGATCATGTGACACAGAAGACTAAAGTAATGGCTGCTGAAAAATCAGATCTACCAACAGATTACATTTAAAAGTATATTAAAAGTCAAAATGGTTCTTTTAAATTCTAATGTTCCACAAAATTACTGCATTAACCATATTTTTAACCAAATAAATGCAGCCTTGGTGAGCATAAGAGATTTCTTTCAAAAACATTACAAAAAATCTTGACCCCAAACCTTTGAACAGTAGTGTAGATTAAGTCAGTTTACATGTATCAGGTTTGTTTTATGTTTTCTGATATACCTGGTTTAGAACTGCGGCCTTCCTGTTCTTCAAGTAGGCTATTGACCACCAGTTTGTAGATCATAGCTTGCGCCCGCTCTAGGTCTGCCAGCCCAAGTGCCCTTTTAATGGGCGACCTCATCACCGCCCGCTTCACCATGTGTCGCATCAGAAATTGCAGAGCCGATCGCAGCTCCGCCTCCTCCTGACACACGCTCACCCCAGGGCTGGCACAATCCGCATTATGACCGCTGTCAGGCGTGACTTTGGGGATCAGCAGCAGCTCAGCGTATTTACTGCAGCTCAGAAGTACGCTCAGGGTCTTCATCGCTCCCAGATACAGATACGACAACTGCACCGCATGCACCTCCATCTGCGCAGCCGCCTCCTGCGAGCGCATCCCCACGATCTCCTGCAGCCTGCGCCGTTTCTCCGCTGGAGTCTGCTGTGTGGCATCCTGTGTGTAGGCAGCGAGCTCGCTCTCGGAGCGAGAGTTGGGCGGAGCTCGAGCTCGAACCTCATCCAAGCTGTGAGATACACGCAGGTCTCCCATCCCCTCTTTCGGATTGGTGCGCGACTCATTCTCCCGTTCTTCCTGGGGTTCGTGGCGATGTCTTCTCTCGTGCCGCCGACCGGAGGCAGATTTGGAGCCGTCGTCCTGCAGGCTTGCGAGGGCGGTGAGGTCCAGCAGCAGAGCCGCAGTGAGTCCGCGGAAACGTGAAACTTCGAAGGGAAGAGGCTCGATTGGCTCCAAGTTGTACAACGGTGTGTCACTGGGCGACCAAAAAGTGGGGAAGCTTCAATGAAAAGGAGTGACAAACCAAACACAGAGAGAGAAAGTGAGGGAGCAGGGAGGAGGGCCAGGGAACATGCAACGTCATGGAGCTAATGCAAAGGAAAAAGTCAATGAAATGATTAGGGAGGAAGAAAAGTGGATAAAGAGACCAAGGAGAGCAGAAGGCAGAAAAGTAGGAGAGCTCTGGGGAGCAGGAGCGAAGCAAAAGCCTCAATTTCACATTCATATAAATCACTCAAACAGATACCCAATCTCTCACCTGATGGTAATCTCCGCCTCATCCCACTGCACCTTAGCTGATGTGCTCCCCTCTTTCACCACGCCCAGCAGAGTGGCGTGTCTCCCCGTCTGCTTGTGCACACACCGTCCCCCCATCCTTAACCCACCATCTACTCCCCCTATCACAGCTAACACTGGCCACACCTGGTGGCACAGCATCCGCAGATGCGCCTCCGACAGCTCGGCCGCCGCGTGCCGTCCGCTTCTTCCTCTCTCCTCCTCTCGCTCTTCCTCCTTCTCGTCCTGCTCCTCTCTGCTCTGTGCCGAGAGGCTCTTGCGCAGTCTGGTGGCCCCTGCTGGAGGAGCTCCTTCTCGCAGGCAGCCCCTGATCTGCTGGAGGCGCTGGAGGATGCTGCAGTTGATAGTTTGGGTCCAGCGCTCTGAACGGTGTAAGATACGGACCAGCTGGGTGGTGGCTTCCGCCAGGACAGTGGCCACAGGGCTGCAGATTGGGTCACCAGGTAACAGGTCACGTGGTGTGCCCCTCATCTGCATGTCACAGATTTTTACCTGCAGGGAAGGGGTGGGTGATATACTGATTAGAACAATATAGAAAACTGTAGGAAATTGTCAATCGGTATACATTTTTGTTGATATCGCTGTTATGGCAGTCATTGCATTCTACTAAACTGTTAAGGAATCTGTAAAAAAAAATAAAAATAAATCTAATTAATCAAAATTATCATCAATAACAAACCACAACTAATAAAAACATTTTTGTTAATTGAAATACAGCTGAAATTAAATATAAATATTTGATGAAAAACTTAAACAAAATAAAAAAAGAGAAATGTTACCTTACCTTGGCATAAAATAAATTTAAGCTAAGGAAATAAAATTACTAAATAGAAATAAATGAAATTAACTAAAACTGAAATAAAAATGAATTAAACCTAAATAATATTTTTTAATTAAATAAAAAACCTATTTAAAATGAAAAAGCACATAAAATTAAAAACAAATACTAAAAATCAAATGTAAAATATTAAGCTTTATTACTTGGATTGAAAAATTATGCACATTCATAAATTTGTTTCATAGCCATGTATGTGACTGTTCAAATAATAGAAAAATGCATCCATTTTGTTATTGACCCAAAAGATTTACAAATATCATGATATAATTTTTGTGCATATATTGCCCACCTCTAAGGTGAAGCAATCAGAGTTTAGACTGACCTTCCACCAACATGATTATGCAGTCTGAACAGTTCATCAGTGTTATTTTAGATAAACAGAAGACCACAGAGTTTAAATCAACATCAGCACTTCTGTGTCTTACCTTCTCCCCGGGGTTACTGCTGTAGAACATGACACAAGGGTACAGCTCTGTAGCATCGACATCCTCAAAGGCCAGTTTGGGTTCCTGCCACATAGAGCCACGTGGTTTAGAACATAAGCACATATGACGTAAGACAGTTAATGTGTATTACAGCTCAGCTTTTGATATGCAAGTTGGTAAAATGGTTGAGTATTTGTGTGTTTGTAAGTGAGCTGCACCGCACCTCTCCGTTCTTGCCAAAGGACACAGTCCTGGCCTCCATGTCCAGCACACAGGTGATGTAGTCTCCTTGTGTGTAGCTGGACAGCGTGAGGGTCTGCTCTCCATTATGGTAGAGGTTGCCGCTGTATGCGCGGTAGAGCCACATGTCGGCTGTTGTGCGGTGGTTGAAATCATGCACGGGCCAACGTGACACACCTACACACGTTCCCTCATTTCCACGATTCTCCTTCACGATATAGAACTGAAAACAAATCATACACACTCTTATACTCACACAGCTTGACACAATGCACATATTGTGCTACTGGCTTACATGAAGTTTGATTCAAAAGCTTGGGGTCAATAAGACTTTTTAAAAATGAATTTAATAATTTTATTCAACATGGATGCATTAAATTAATCAAAAGTGACCGTAAAGACTTTCATAATTTTACAAAAGATTTCTATTTCATATTAAATCTATTGAACTTTCTATTTATCACAGAATCCTGAAAAAACGTATCACAGTTTCCACAAAAATATTAATAAGCAAAACTGCTTTTAACATAATAAATGTTTCTTGAGGACCAAATTAGCATATTAGAAAGATTTCTGAAGGATCATGTGACAATGAAGGGTAAGACTTGAAAATTCAGCTTTGCCATAACAGAAATTAGATTTTAAAATACTTTAAAATTGATGTTATTTTAGATATGTAAAATATTTCACAATATTTAATATATTTAATATTGAATATACTGCTTTTACTGTTGTTTTGATCAAATAGTGTAGTCTTGACCCCAAACTTCTGAACTTTACACCGTGTCCACACCGGTCATGGTGTAAAGTGCGGCTTTACGCGACAAAATACAATAGAACCTATTATGCTGTCTACACTGGATGCGGCGTGGCGCGGCACGACAAATTCCCGACAGTAAACTGCTGCTGCGTTCTATTTATGACGTACTGACACAAATTTCAAATGATTTTAAATGGTCGCTTTGTCGCGTCCAGTGTAGACAGACTTTAGCTGTTGCGGCGCAGCGCGACACGACAACTGTCGCGTCCGGTGTAGACATGGTGTTAGTGTAAAAAAAAAAGTGTGTAGAACCTTCCACTGATAACAGCCAGAGGAAATGCCAGTGGAGGCCAGGCCATAACCTTTGCCTCCACTGCCATGTGTCAATCCCTGTCCGCTTTCCACCACACAGCACTGTGCCTTCTCAGGGTCAAAGGTTACTTCCTGGATAGGCAAATTTTCTTCTTCCTCCTCTGATTCACCCTAAAACAACCAACAAAGATGGCATTTAAAGGCATTGGGTATGAGTACATTTTAAAGCATTACAACCTCTTACACTTGACTGACTGAATCTCCCTCACCTGTAGTTTGAGTTCCTGCTCTCTCTCTTTCAGCTGGATGGTGTGTTTGGCTTGAGCAACAGGTGCCTCCCACATACAATCCGAGAGCAGTGAGAACAACCTCTCCACCACCTACCACACAAAGACAAATTAAACTCTGCAACACATAATCCATGATAATAAAAAAAAGAGCACAGCAGAGGTGTGTGGAATTAGACCTGGGTCATCTGATGGTCCTCCATGCTGCTCTCACAGGCAGGAAGCACAGCTTCCAAAACATGCAGGGCTAACAGCCGTGTCCTCAAATTACCAACCAACGGAATGCCTGAAAAATACACACATTTAACTAATCTAACAACTAGCACACAGACAAGACGATGTGGTCGAGACATTGATGTACTACCTGAACAGCATTTCTGAGCAGCAATGTTGAGAAGGACTTCAGTCCATTTAGGAGAAGCCATCTTGGACTGAATGGCTTTGGAAGAGACGACTCGCCGCAGAAACACCAAGAAGTCTCCGAGGTGCAGCTCTGCTGTGTGTCTCTTACGTAACAATGCTACACCAAAATAAAAGCAATGTATAAAAAAACACTAAAAAAAAGTAACTTACTGAGCATGTTGCTGTTGACCTGCAATTGTCCTACCTCGAAAATCTTTTTTCTGAGCATCTGCGCAGTCGTCAGTCTTCTCCTGCAGTTCTGTACTTGCACTGAGCGTGCTTCCAGCAGCCTGAGCCAGCAGAGTCTTCAGCTGACTGCACAGAAGATCCAGCAGAGCCTGGACCACCTTAGGACTCAACCTGTCTGCATATGTCCTGATGAAAAGATAGGAAAGAGCAAGAGTTAATGAATCTGTCTTCTGTGCTCCTGCTAAGAGAGATATAAACAGTGTGATGTGAGCAAACAAACCTAATTACCTTCTGATAAATTACACTACAAAGTTTAGGGTTGGTAAGATGTTTTATGTTTGTTCACAATGACTGCATTTATTTGATCAAAAATACAGAAACAGTATTATTGTAAAACATTATTACTATTTAAAATAACCGCTTTGTGTTTGAATATATTTTTAAATGTAATTTATTCATGTGATGGCAAAGGTGGATCTTCAAAGAAACAATATGCTGATTTTCTGCTCAAGAACCATTTGAAAACACTCGTGCTGTTTAATAGTTTTGTGAAAACAGTTTTGTGGCATTTGTAAGGATTCTTTGATGAGTAAATCATTCAAAAGAACAGCATTTATATGAAATAGATCTTTTGTAACACTGTAAAAAATCTTTACTGTCACTTCTGATGAATTTAATGCATTCATTTCCTTAAAAAAATCTTACTGACCCCAAACCTCTGAATGGTAATGTAAACAAGATGCCAAAATCTCACAGTGGGTCTAAAGAACATTCATGGAGTAGCATCATAATTTAAAACACACAGCATTTGAGGTTCAGATCAGCTATGAAAAACCAGGTTTTAACAATCTGTGAGAGAACTGTGTTGTACCCGGTGCTGATGGCTAGTATCTGTAGCAGTCTGGTGCTGGCCACTTTGAGGGCAGTGCTGAGCTGAGAGCCTGCAGGTTTGTGCAGGAGTTGCAGTGTCTGTCCAAGCAGGGTTTCCGTTCCACAAAGCTGAGAGAGAACATCCAAGAGACCGCTGGAGATGGCTAATGATACATCGACAGGCTGGTATCGCACACTTAGAGCAAAGACCGTCACCAACAGCAGCCTCTGCTGGGCCTCTGTAAACACACACATCATTATGAATATACTGTACGTTCAGCATAATATATGCTACATAAATGAATATACTGAATGTGTGCTCAAATACATTACCTATGTGGTGCTTGTTTGCTTGCAGGGCTCTCTCTAATGTGACTGACAGCTGCTGATAAATCTTATGAACAGCTGTCTGAATGTCCATCTGTAAACTTTTCTTGGCTGCTCTGACTCCATCCTACAAGGAAAGATAAAGGACATGCAGAGCAAAGCATGAATAATGACATTCAAAATTATTTATCATAACATTTCAGTTCTTCAAACCCAGTTTATTGTTCAATATGTGTTAAAGCAGGAAGACTGAATTGCTCACAGACATGCCGATCAATTTTATGGGTCTTTATAGCTATTTTTTCAGTAAGGCCTTATGCCCACATTCTAGCATAAATTAGCACATATTAAGCCAGCATGACCTACAAAGATGATCAACTATGTTTAAAAACTCAATTTGTTGCTTGTTATCCACTGATAATGGTCACAGATTAATGTTGAAATGTATGACACACATTCAAAAAAAGATTTTCTCTTCTTCAGTACTTCTGAAACAAGTCTAAGATTAGATCCATGTAACAATTACCTGGTAATGGTGCAGTTGGACACTCTCCCCTTTTGGCCCCCCATAGCTGACAGCACCAAGGCCAAAACATCCCGACAGGAACTGCAGTCTGACTGATGTTAGCAGAGAGGCAGAGTGAAAACTGAAGCCTGTGCGTCCAGCTCCACCTCCAGATCCTGCCTGACTGCTTTTCTCCTCCATCCCAGAAATCAACACCACAATCTGGTGAAGGGCCTCCAGACGCAACTATATAATACACAAAACACAATCATAAAAGCACAAGATAAACAAAGTCTGTGGGTGGAAGTGAAGACAGGCATCTGACAAATAAAGAGTCAAAACATACCTCTGCTCGACTCTGTTGCTGCTCCATGGCTATAATAATGGCCTGTGGGCTGGTGGACACACTCTCTTCTGGTTCCTTAAACACAGGAGCATTCCCAACATCTCCACTGATGAAGTTCACTATGTTCTCGATGAGTGCATGGAGCCTGAATGAATGGCTCAGATCGAGGTCTGACTCCTCGTAGGACTGTGGAGAGCTGTACAAACACTCGCGAGCCGAGCGTCCTCCAAACCAGTCAGCAGAAGAGTCTGGAGAACTGTACAGAAAGCCTTGAAAACACAAGACAAATAATGGGCCAATAATAAAGTATAATGTAACCATTAAAATTATGTAATTAGAAAATTATATAATTTGTGTGCCATGTACATTTATGCTTAATACATTATTGCTTTGTTTCTCGTGTGGCTTCTATGAAACCAATTTTTTTTTTTCTGTGAAGAGAGCTATTTGTATGACATGAGTATATGAAGTACTCCAAAGCAGATGAACTCACTCGAGCACAACCTCAGCTCCGACCCGAAGAAGTCACATTTGATTTTTATTCACTATTCCCTACATTACTCCACTAATGAATGAAAACAACAGAGCAAATTTAGCCACTGAGTGTGCTGGAAGTGCTGTGAATGCCATATTTTGCTAAGAAGCCAGAATTCATTCTGCGACACACTCATAGCAATAGAGTGGATGCTGAATCCTGATTCTGAACAACTATGTTCCTCAAGAAATTAGTTTCAAATCTGCTCCAACACATGCCTGTAATTTTTAAGATCTCAAAGACCTTTATTAGTTGGTTTAGGTGTGTTTTAATGCAGTTTTAAATTCTCAACACATCAATGGATCACATCGATTTTCTCACATTTTCAGTCCTGATTATAAGTGAAAATCTATGGAAAAGATTTGAAAACAGTAAAATTTGGCCTCAGAAACTATTTATTAGTAGCTGAAAACATTATCAACATATTTTGGGACAGAGCCTCCCAGACACAGAGGCTACTGTAGATAAAAAAATGTGCAAACTCCCACTTGCTGTTTATTGTACTACAAAAAAAGTCTAATATCTGTAGCTATGACTGTTTGCAGTACATACAGATAAGAAAATAAAAGCAAAAGCAGCTTAAATAGCATCCTATAATCTACTGCTCGAACAAATCCTTGTCTATATTTATTTTAACCCCCCTTTTATAATAAAGGCCACAAGAACTGATGCCAGATTTCCAGCAAAAAAAAAAAAAGTGTATGATTTACAGGTGAAATGTGAACGGGACAGACAGGTTCTGTCATAAACTGTGCTTTTCTTGTGTGCAGGCCTGGACATGAATAAGAATAAGGAATAAGTATTATGTGAGTAGTATTTTATAGAAACAAATTTGCTGTGGCACATTTTGGGCTTGGGGAATAAATCTGGCAACGCATGAAGAGGCTATAAAGATGCCAGCAGGAATCCACTGTCATCTTATTTCATGGACCCATTTAGCAACGTAGAAAAAAATAGACAGACACACAGAGCTGTCAGAGACACATTACATGTGTACACAGACTTTTGCACAAATATACAGATTAAGAGAGTAGTACAGTATGTCCCACTACTACAGCCTCAGTATGTTAAAGGCCGGGCGTTACCTCTTTTTTTAGGAGTGAAAGCTAAATCCAGATCCACATTCCTCCTCACATTCTGAAACAGGTCACACAGACAGGTTACATAACTGCAATTGATATAGTTATATATCAAGCAAAGCAGATAAGGCAGTGTGTGCATGTGTCACACATCTCACCAGTGAGTATCCCTCCTCATCAGACTCTGGCTGGGAGAGATCAGACTCACTCCTGGATTTTGTGAGTCTGTAGCTGGGACTGCTCTGGATGGACCGACTCTCTGCCGACAGGCTCTCACTCCTACACACAAAATGAAAATGGGAAGTTACATGTCCTGTGAGCGGACATAACATAATCGTGTCATTAAAATGTGACCTAAATATAAATTAATACCACTAATGAAGAATGTTTTTTGTTTATTGAAATTATGTATCAGAGTAACCGCTGCTTTTAATTGCAATCGGGTCAGCTCATAAAGGTTCTTCAAAATTAGGGCAGCACACAAGGTCTCTTGCAACTGCATAATGTGAAATCTAGAAAAGTAGGTCAGGCATTCCTGGGCAGGACTGGCAGCGCTGGAGCAGACTGGAAAGGTGAACGAGTTCAGCGAGGCCTTCAGGTTCCAAAGACAAGGGTTATGATTCAAAAGACTTAAGTCATGCTTACACATGTTAAATCAGCTAAATGTACTTATGACGCTACTCACCTCGTCATAAACCCGCCTCCGTCCTGGTTGACCCCACCTGTCAGGGGTTGCTGATTGATGTGCTGGGCGAGCGGTGTGCTGACGGCCAGCAGGAGCATGGCACAGCGGTGGATGACAGCATTGCATGCGGTGGTGTAAAGATCCTGTCCCTCCTGAGGGGTCGTGCTGCTCCTGCGCTCCGGACCGGGCTGAGACGACTCTTCCTGTACGCTCATGCTTCCGGTTTGATCTCGGTCCCTTCCTCGCGCTGCTTCCCGTGCTGATAGGAAACATTGAAAGATTTCTGTGTCCGCCAAGACATAAGACACAGAGCGGCCAGGTTAGGGAAGCAGCCAAGAAGCATGACGCTAACGAAGTTATTTATTAGTATACGCTACCATTCAAAAGTTAGTATGTTTTTTAAAAGAAATGAATACTTTTATTTGGCAAGGATGCATTAAACTAAAGACTTTCACATTAACAAACAAGATATTTACATTTCAAATAAATGGTGTTCTTTTGAATTTTGTAATCATCTGAAAAAAAAAAAGTATCATGGTTTCAACTTAAATATTAAGCAGCACAACTGTTTCTTGAGCATTACAGGAATAAATAACATTTAAAAATACATTAAAATAGAAAACAGTTTTTTTTCAATTTAATAATATTTCACAATATTAGTGTTTTTACTGTTTATTGATCAAATAAATGTAGCCTTGGTGAGCAAAGGACAGTAAGAACCTTTTGAATGGTAGTGTATATTGTGTGGTGTGCTCTAGCACAATGCAATTTAGACTATATGTCAAACCAATTCTTAAATATATCTTTAAAGTAATAAAGTAATTAATTAAAGGGGTCATATGTTGCTAAAAAGAACATTATTTTGTGTATCTGGTGTAATGAGGTTCAAAAAAATGTTCAAAAAACACATTATTTTCCACATACTGTACATTATTGTTTCTCCTCTATGCCCCGCCTTTCTGAAATGTGTCGGTTTTTACAAAGCTCATCGGTCTGAAAAGCAAGGTGTGCTCTGATTGGCCAGCTATCCAGTGCGTTGTGATTGGCCGAATACCTCAAGCATGAGACGGAAATGTTACGCCCCTCACAACTGTTGATGCCATGTCCAGCCGGAGCGACGAGACATAAACATTAAAACCCATTACAAACGAGGCATTTGTTGCATCCAGTGGGGACATAATTACGGATTATAATGACTTACACTGTCTTTTTACGCGTTGCGTTGTATCGCGCCG